GCTTCGTAATGCCGGGATGCCTATTTCGATCCCAGCTGCGGGCCATGCGCCTTGCGTTGGTTTCGACAGTGGTATCAAGAAAGCCGACCGTCCAGGAAGCAATAGCAAACAACTGGACGTAAATTTGCCTAGAAAAATCACACAACAGCCAGACGCTGTTAGGGTTGGTTCTTCAACGTCCTGTAAAGGTTACGCAACTAACCATACTACTGTAGGCGTCGGAAATACGCTTCGAAGTACTGCGGTGACGGATTGGATTCCAGCTGCAGGCGATTAGGCAGCAGACTGTCAAGCTGTTGAACGATAAAATCCCTTATGAAAAAACAAACACTGTCAACATATGCTGGGGTTATCTTGCAAGGTTATGAAAATGTAAACGAGGGACTTAAGACATTACATCCACCAGCAGGCGTCGCCCCTACATCGACCTGACTGCCTTCGTTGACGACTGTTCACCCAGCAGCCATGCAGTTCTTTGGCACGAAGGAAACACCTTGAACTTGGGTTTCGGAATGCCGACTTCCTACAAGATGTTATTTTATGTTTTGTTATCACAATCGACGTCACTGCACATTGGGCACACCCATGCGTGCGCAGTCCTCCGAAGCAGCAGCCACTCCAAAGTACTTTTACTTATTGTCCCCAAGAGAAGCTGGTTATATTGTCTCCTTTCTCGGCCTCGAAGACGGCAAAGACGTGCTTCACCATGCTTAACTCCCATGTCACGCAATCGTGTTAGTGTCAGGAATTCGACATTATCCACCAGCCCAGTCCGTATAGCGTTGACGATATCTGCTCTGTCCATGCTTTTCCCCGCAATCATTAGTGCAGTGCTTGCCAGTTGGTCCGCTCGCTCATTTCCCTTTACGCCCGCTGGCACTTGCAGACGATGTGGCACTTATAACTAAATCAGAGGCAGACCCTCAATCCAACGTACTTGTCTGGAAGGAAGAGCTAGAGAAGAGAGGGATGACTATCAGTATCTCCAAAACTAAGATCATGATGATCTCAAGAGAGGAGAAGAAACAGCAGATCATGACGGGACTGTATGCATTGGAGCAGGTCAACCAGTTCAAATGCTTTAGAATTGTAATAGAAGGAAGGCATTCTTCTTCTTCTTCGCGTTCACCAGCTGTAAACTCTGGCGTAAAGTTCTGGTTGTTCGTCCACTTCTGGACTGCAGTCCTGCTCCAGAACCTGAGTGTTGCGTGTGCATCAGTTTTACAGATCTGATTCAATTGAATGCAGACTGCTGGTTCCTTGCCTCAAGCAGATGCACTCCGACTTCAAAAGAAGCTTCCCAGCTAGTCGACTCTTACGACATGCTTTTGGGGAGGCAGTGGGTCTATTCTTGTTTTCCCCACAAAAGGGCCCCAGAACCCACACGGGGGAGAACGGAGGCATTAAGAATGAGCTGGCTAGGCGAAAAGCAACTGCTATGAGACTCTTCCAGTCCATAAACCAAGGACTTCTACGAAAAATATAAACTGGAAAAAGGACGAACATAGCTGCTTACCGCTCTACCAATGTACCACTCCTGATATATGGATACGAGTCATGGACAATGACAACAGTTCACAGAAGCCAGCTTCAGGCCTCAGAAATGAGATATCTGAGAAAGGTGGTCCAAGTGACAAGAATGGACAAAGTCCGCAATCAGACAATACGTCATGATCTTGATACCCAGACCTAATAAACCCAAGTGGATTACCCACTGTTACAATAATTTAGTCGTGTATGTAGAATGGGAGAAAATCGGCCACTATTTGCAGGCATGGGAGGCTAGGAACCAGGGAACTAGACTTCCAGGGTGACCCAAGGTCCGCTGAGAAGACAACATCAGACAGTCCCTAGATGACAGAAGACTGAAATGGAACAAAGCCATAAAGAAAACTGCTGACAGAGAAGTCTGGCGATCTCTCTGGCAAACCTCTACACACCAAGGAACGACAAAGTAAGTAGACGCACAGTTTTCAAAGCTCTGGGTAACCAATAAAGGTATGGTAGCGTTATCTGGCTAGCGGCGTCTGTGGCTTAGGCGTTGCGAGTCGACTCGTAATTCCAGCGTACCGCGATCGAAACCCACTGCTGACTGCGTGGCTTTTTATCGTGGTATGGGGCGTCGCAGGTCGACCCAGCATAAAATGGGTGCCAGGATGGCTGTCCCGGGAAAGTAGAGACGGCCGGCGTAATGCTGACCACATTACCCACCTAGTGCCGATGGTGTAAACAAATATGGGCTCTCTTCCCTTATACCCGATGCGCCTAAAGGCGTGAAAAGGGATCTTTACTTTACTTAAACGTTGCCTGGCACTGAAAGAGTTAACGACTGTAGATCAATGATAGTGGTTTGTTTCATTCAGCCCGTATTTCGCTGGGTAAGATGGCGGCGCCCATGGTTGCAAGTTGTTGAGGGAGGACATAGTGATGGTGACTGTATGTCTTGTTTAGGATGGTGAGTTAGTTTAAAGTGGTTAGAAGAAATATGCTTATACGGATGTTGGAAGAATTACAGTCTGCTATATTTGTTACAATATGTTGGTAGGCTACTTATTTAAGATATAATTCAAGTGTAAGAGGGGGAGTACTTTGTACCGGTACATGCCAATAGTAAGGTAAAGGGACAACTGATAAGTAACTGTGTCGCTGTCCGCACGTAACTCTGTAGCTGCAGCGACGTTCCTCCATTCACCCCAGTGTGAGTGTCAACTCTGGTACCCATTTCCTAGAGGCTGGGTGAACCCCGGGAACCCCCTGGTTTCGAACACCGACCGTGGCTGCAGCGAGTCGCAGCTGGATTTTAAAGCGAGCCTCCTATCTACTGCGCTAACGCGGATCCTGACACCGCACAGAGGTAAATATAGGCACTAACGCAGTTAGTTTATCGACTGATCATCCTAATAGCACATCTGAGAAGTCCCTAAACACTAGAATCCCATTTTCTTCTTCCTGGAAAGTTGTGGTTGTTCGTCCACTTCTGAACTGTAGAAGTCCAGTTCCAGAACCTAAGTGTTGCATGTGCATCCGTTTTACAGATCTGAATTATTTTAACGCAGATTGTTGGTTTCTTGCCTCTCAGGCAGATGCACTCTAGTTTTGAAGAAAGCTCCTAGTTAGTCGATGGCTATACTCTGAATAACGGTCCCCAATTATTAAGGTCGAAAATATACCCTAACAGGGCCTCAGTCACATGTAAATTGCAGATCTTTTCCAGCGACTACACAGCATACCGCGAAAAAGCTTCCGCCGAGTTAAAGTCACCTCCGAGAGTATCTCCTGCGCCTCGGAGCGGGGCTAAACTAGATGGCTGAGACTCACGAGCGGCAAGCAGCTACCACATCTCATGCAGCTTCCTCTATTTTATTTGCTTGTGAGTCCCAGCCATCTAATTTAGCCCCACTTTGTGGCGCAGGAGTTACTCTCGGCGGTATGCTGTGTAGTTGCCGGAAGAGGTCCGCAATTTACATGTGACTGAGGCCCTGTTAGGGTATAGTTTCAGCCTCGATAATTTGGGACTGTTTTTTGGATGGCCTAATCGACTCTTATGACATGCTTTTGGGTAGGCATTGTGTCAATTCTTGTTTTTCCTATAATGGGGCCATAGAACCTATAAGGAGAATCCCATCTTATCTTCCTCTGTGTGGCGACTGATAACACCAGTTCTGGTTGTTTTACTTTTACTATTCTTCATTGGGTCCCCTGTATATATACAGTATAGTGTTGATGTCTGGCAAACCTGTTTTGACATGCAGTTTAGTTCTTTCAGTCTTATCAGTGTTGAGGGTTTGCCTTTGTCTCCAAGACCATCTACTCGTCCTGTTTCCCTGAGAGCACAGAAAGCATAGAGCCGGTCTGTTGCTTTTCCTGTGCATATCCTGGCCCTGCCAGCAGTTTCACTTAATGCATATATATATATAGATATAGTCGCCGTGGCGAAGCAGCTAGACGCTCGCTTGGAATCAGAAGGTGGAGGGTTCGCTCCCTGGCAGAAGCAGACTTTAAAAAAAAAATGACCTTGGCTCCCAAGTCGACCCAGCCTTGAGTGGGTACCATGCGCAGTTCCGAGAAGTAGAGGCGGCCGGCGTGATGCTGACCACATCACCCATCTTGTGTCGTTGGTCTATAAATTATAAAGGCGTGGAAAAGCGTCCTTTACTAAATATATATATGTTACCCTGTGTGAGCACCAGGGCCTGATTGTGTGTGTGTGGTGGGGGGGGGGGGGCTGGGAACAAGAATAGACCCACTGCCTACCCAAAAAGCATGTCGTAAGAGTCGACTAATTGGGAGCTTCCTTCATAGTCGGAGTGCATCTGCCTGAGAGGCAAGGAACCAACAGTCTGCATACAAATGAGTCAGATCTGTAAAATGGATGCACATGCAACACTCAGGTTCTGGAACAAGACTGCAGTCCCAAAATAAATGAACAACCAGAACTTTCCACCAGAGTTTACAGCTGGTGAACGCTAAGAAGAAGAAGATATATATATATATATATATATATATATATATATATATATATATATATATATATATATATATATATATATTGTATATATCTATACAATAAAATTTCCTAAGAGACTCGAACCGTTGTCTTCAAACCTATCCTGTCTTCTAAGTCTAAGTGTGTAATCTAATTGTCAACAATTATTATGACAGTTATGATCCACACATAACTGGAGGCAACCCTATTCAGGAACTTCACTGTTATGATAATCTGATTAAGTAAAAATTGATACAGGGATTTTCTCTTGTACAAACTACTTTACATTAAGGATTGTTAGTTGTGTTTTTGTGTGGGCATATATATATATATATATATATATATATATATATATATATATATATATATATATATATATATATATATATATATATATATATATATATATATATATATATATATATATATATATATATATATATATACTGTTTAATGGAAAGAGAATGCCATACTTCTAAACTTCTAAAGGACTGTGTAGGTTGAAGCCTAGAGAATGACTCAGGGTGTGAAGATATTTCTAGCCGGTCTTGGCCTGCTGAAGTACCATGAAATGTTTACTATCAAGGGATTCGATGACGAGTCAGATATACCATACCTGACAGTCTTTGATCTGGAAAACACCATCATGATCACCAGTCGGTCTGACATCTCCACCATCTTGGCTAATGGTAAGTGTATCTTCGTCTTCCTTTGCCTTTGAAAGGGCAGTTGGCGTGTTGTAATGTGGTTTACAGCTAGGCTGCGATAGCCCAGAACATCTTATTTGAGTAAACTTTTAATTAGTCATCTTTAGCAATGTGCTTAAGGAGCAGTGCTAGCGTCATACTCATAGTATACTTCTTAGTCATTTTACTTGGATGTTATGAGGGCCCTTTGGGAGCGAGTGAACGGTGCCGAGGCACTTATAGATCATTACAGTCTGAGGAGAATGACACTGCAAGGGAATCTGGCCGACGCTCGAAACTCACGGAAAGGCAAGATGGATATACAATCAGACAGTTACTGGTAGCACCGGAATAGGAACAGCGCTGTCTGCTACAGATAGGGACATTGTTAAGGAAATCTGTAACCCATCTTCTTCGCTCATCATGATGATCGTCCCGTAACACTGCATGCCGTTGGGTCACCGGTCGCTGTTGACTGTCTCATGAGTTACCTCCACCTTTGACTGCCAGTTACAGTGGGCATCATGACTGCATGTCTAAAGCATGTCCAATCAGTCCAGTTCTGTATCCAGGTCTTTCTTGTTCTGCCTCTTCCTCTCTTCTGAGCTCTGTTGTGGTGTTTTTTGAGAGATGTTAGATCTTATTACATGTCTGTACCATTGTATTTTCCATCTTTCCACTGTATTCTTCATTAGCAGAGTAAAAATGAGAAAGAAAAATTACGACTCAATCCTCATGTATTTAATAGTTAATCTTACCAGTTTTTCTCTTCCACATTAAAACCACAAATGGTGAATTGTAAATATGTCAGTACTGATGACATTGTATTCAGTAACATAAGACAGACAACTGTGAAAGCTTTATGATCAGTCCAAGCACCAAATTACTTGATGATGATGATGATGATGATCTAGTTATGAAATCAGAACACTTGTTATTTGTTCATCATAGGTGGCTTCGGCAGACCTCTGATTTTATGTACTGAATTGTTTCTTCAGAGTTTTAGTTCATTACAAAAGTATCCTCATCTGGGTTCCAGGGTCCCATTTGGGGAAAAAAGAAAAGACCCACCCCACCCAACAAGCACATCGGTAAAAGGTGACACTAATTAGGGATGTTTCCTTTGAAGTCAGAATGTATCTGCCTGAGACGCAAGGAACCAAGTCATGCTACAGATAGGCATTCCTAGTTGATTAAATCGGATATGTTTGTGATTATATGTCTATATTATTTTTTACATGAATGAATGAATGAATGAGTCAGTAAAGAATTAATATCACTGCACTTGGGACATTCCTGCACATGCTCCATCTCCTTCCTTGGTAGCTAACGAAGAGTTCCTGGGCTAATAATACCAGCTGCATTCTAATCAAAAGTCACCTATGTTTTTCCCCCTGGGTTGAATATCGTCCAGAACCCTGTACTCACCCCTCCCCCCAGCCCCATCTCCCCCCTATCCCCACTGAATTAGTCTTTCAAAGTATGGGTACACTATCTGTTCAGTTGCACTGTCCGCTTGATCCCAGAGAGCTTTTACCGCATCCATTTTCACAGAGTAGGTTATTTTCAGAATGTTTAAAAAATGTGCTTATTCAAGTGATTTTACTATCTGCTAATTTGTAGCTTGTCTGTGTCGATAAGAATGCAGAGTGGCAAAGCAGGTTGATAATTATAAGCCTAATGAAGATAAACTGAGAATTGATTATGGACTGAGTGGTCACTGAGTGAATTACAAAAGACAGTGAAATTCATACTAGAGACAACATTGCAGATATAGATAATCTGTTTCAAGCGAACACTCTCTTCTCTCTCACTTTCTTCTCTCTCTCACTTTCTTTTCTCTCTCTCTCTCTCTCTCTCTCTCTCTCTCTCTCTCTCTCTCTCTCTCTCTCTCTCTCTCTCTCTCTCTCTCTCTCTCTCTCTCTCTCTCTCTCTCTCTATCTATCACTCTCTTGTCTCTTACCCCCAAATTTTCTTTTGCTTGGACTATTCAATGCTTTTGAGCTGAAATGCTGTAGAAAGAATCTCAGAATACCATGGAAAGAGTAGAAAAAAACTTACTGACATACTAAAAGATCTGATTATCAAGGAGGACTGGTTTGTATGCAGCATCCTGTCACAGATACTGATATAATTTAGCCATATCGAGCCCACAGCGAACTGGAAACAAATTGTAGCAGAAGCCATGGAACCTGTCAAGGTAAAGAGGAGCAGGGGCCCACCAGCACAGACATGGGCACAGGATAACAGAATATAAGGGACACCTGGGTAGAAAGTGCATGAGGTGACAGAGCTGGTGAGAGATCGAGTTTCTTTCAGGTAGATGAGGAGGGGGGGGGGGGGCCGAGTGGTCTCTAGGAATGGCATCCACCTCAAGTACTCAGGGTCTCGGGGGCTGGGTTTTTTTCATGTGGACTTCTTGTAATCTCCCCTGGTTTCTGGGTAGTAAGATGGGACACCCTTGCAAATTGTCGAGCACATAAAAAAGCGCTTAGCAAGTTGGGAATCGAAAAGAGTAGCCTAATGGCGCTACCCATGCAAATTTAAAGTTTAAAAATATACCCAAAGTATTTTAAGGAGTTCATGCACTGCGCTGAGATTCTTCGGACTTGAGCTTGAGTTAGAAGTAGAATGGAGCACTTAGGGTTACTATCCTTGTCCCATGATGTTGGTCCTTTGTTTGAACCTAAACCTTAGCCCTGAATGTAGATTGATGAGAGCAGCTGTCTGCAAAGGACTTGGTACATGATAGAATGATGATAGGCTGTCTGCATTTAATTTCTATAATGCATCTTCCATCCACTGACAATGTGAATAGTGAGGAGGCACAAATAGATCACTACGGTCTAAGAATAATGTCACTGCCCGGCGCTGAACACTCAAAGAAAAGGCGAGACGGATGTACAGTTAAACAGTTACCAGTACATCCCCCCCCCCCTACCGTGTGGGTTCCGGGGCCCCATTGTGGGGAAAACAAGAATAGACCCACTGCCTCCCCAAAAGCATGTCGTAAGTGTCGACTAATTGGGGCGCTTCCTTTGAAGTCGGAGTGCATCTGCCGGAGAGGCAAGGAACCAACAGTCTATATTCAAGAGAATGAGATCTGTAAAACTGATGCACACACAACACTCAGGTTCTGGAGCAGGACTGCAGTTCAGTAGTGGACGAGCAACCAGAACCTTCTGCCAGAGTTTACAGCTGGTGAACGCGAAGAAGAAGAAGTAGTTACCAGTACCATCAGGATTGGAACTCTTTGCCTGCTGCTGAAAATGGGGACATTGCGCTTGTGGGAGTGTCCCGAGAGTTGTCATAAAGATTAATTCAGCATTCTTTCCACTAATAATGCAGCCAAGGTACCATTTCTCATATCCAGCTCGAATGTACAGACCCAGTTCAGAACATGCTGTGTACGCATGGCTGTGCAGCAACTCCCTGGGCTACTACTTCATCAGCTTCATGCAGAGTGAGCTGACCGATCTCAGAAAGATTGCCCAGTTGTCCTTACCCAATGAGGAACTCTATGATGAACTGGAGATTGTGTTGCCTGGACACAGAAAGAGGCTAGAAAGAGCAGGTGATTATTTCCAAGTATTGTTTTTCCCCTAATACATGAGGGGTGTCTTATCACAGACAAATATAGTAATGCACATTTTGTTGCTGTTGTCTTTGTGGTTTTTGTCCAGAGTTTGGTGTGTTTAGTACCCCATAAAGGCATGGACAATAAAGAGATATGTTAGGCAATAAGTTGTGCAATCTGTTGTTTGTTTCCTCTTTGTTCACACAACGGATACATACTACTTTGATTTTCTTCTTTATTTAACAGCATCAAATAGTTCACAAATCAGTGACATTCTTTTTTCTGCTTCTTCTTCTTCTTATTCTTCCACAAGTTCACCGGCTGTAAACTCCAGCAGTCAGTTCTGGTTACTCATCCGTTTCAGAACTTTAACCTTGTTTCAGAACTTGAGTTCTGTATGCACATCTGTTTCACAGATCTGGTTTATTTGTGTGCAGACTGATGGTTAATCAGCTCTCAGGCAGATGCACTCTGACTTTTAGAAAAAAAGACCCTAATTAGTTAACTCTTATGACATGCTTGTTGGGTGGGAGGGGGTTTGTTCCTCCCTCCCACCAAACCACAATAGGGCTCCGAATCTCACACGGGAAGACAAAATTATAAATGTAACATTATGTAGTAAACCACAAAAAAGTCATCCAGTGCTGGGATAGGTTTATGATTTTCTGCAAATCTGCAAAGGATATATACTTACTTACTTAGTCCTCTTCTATCCTGGAGTGTAGAGGTTTGCCATAGAGATCGTCAGACTTCTGTATCAGCAGTATTCATTTTGGCTTAGTTCCATTCCAGTCCCCTATCAGTCAGGGACTGTTGGATGGTGTCTTCCCAGCGGACCCTGGGTTGCTCTTGTGGTCTGGTTCCCTGATTCTTAGCATCCCATTCCTGCATTGGTGGCCGATTGTCTCCCATTCTGCATACATGTCCAAACCATCCTATTTTGTGACATAATGGATATGCAGCTAACTTTTTAAATTTCTTAGTCCAAAGGCTGAAGCTGGAACAGGTCAACAATGCCGCTGCCGAAACTCCCGTCTCGTATGGGTGGTGGGGCAAACCAGAATGCCTTCCTCAGGCTAAGTTTGACTTCCTTTGTGTGAGAGCATCACTGCTTTCGTCACATGATGCTCAGAACTCAGCAACAGTTGGTGAGTTTCTTGTTTGTTGAAGATCAAAGTGACAAAACATTTCTTCTCTCCTTTCCTTCCTCTGCCCTTTATGGCTCAGTGGTAGTTGCTTCTTCTTCTTCTTCTGCGTTCATCCGAAGATGTAATTGCGTGGTGTCCGTTTACAGCATGGCTGTGATATTTGCACCTTTCGGCCAACACATCCGACTTCTGCGGGCATTTGTTGACCGGGTTAGCCGTCCCAGTGGTAATTACTTGAGATGTACCGTTTACATATTAATGCATTTTTGCCGAGTTTAGAGGTTTTTTTCCTGACGGAGCCGGGTTGTTTTAAAAAATTCACCTTCACCCCAGGTCGAGCCAGCGTTGAGTGGATGCCAGGTGCACTCCTGGGAAGTAAAGGCAGCCGGCATGGTACTGACCGCATCACCCACCAAATGCCAATTGCTCTATAAAATATAGGTCTAGCTTTGTATGCCCAATATGCCTGAACGCGTAGAAAACTGTCCTTTAAGAGTTTTCTGTATACTTGACTGCAAAGCATGCACTTTCTGTAATGGCCTGATCTGCACAGAGAAGGCCTAACATACCAAGATTCCCCCCCCCCCCCCCTCTCCGTGTGGGTTCTGGGGCCCCATTGTGAGGAAAACAAGAATAGACCCACTGCCTCCCCAAAAACATGTCATAAGAGTCGACTAATTGGGGAGCTTCCTTTGAAGTCGGAGTGCATCTGCATGAGAGGCAAGGAACCAACAGTCTGTATGAGAATGAGATCTGTAAAACTGATGCACACGTAACACTCAGGTCCTGGAGCGGGACTGCAGCTCAGTAGTGGATGAGCAACCAGAACTTTCCGCCAGAGTGTACAGCTGGTGAACGCAACTAAAGAAGAAGATACCAAGATCCTTTGATATCGCACGCAGCTGGTTGCACACTCTTCTTTTTTTTTTTTTCTTCAGTATTTTTTAACATCGCACTCTCCAGACCCTTTCCTCATGTTTTGTTGTTTGGCCTGCTTTTTTTCCCCTTACCACTATGGTCTCACCGCATACACATTCTAGTCATATTGTTGTCGTGTTTTCTGTTTGTGTCTCCTATCCAAAGTCAGTGTCTTTTTTTCACTTCTAGACTCACTGGAATTTGTTTAGTTCGCTTCCAAATATTCACATTACTGATTATATCATATGATTTAATTACCTCTGTTTTGCGCCATCACCGGTTCATTAATGTTTGCAGTTTATTAGTAATTGGGATTGAGTTAGTTTATTGACTAAATCTCACATCTGTAAACTTATCAAATTTCACATGGATCAGTAAGTTTATTGATTAATTCAGTTTAGAGCAAGATGGACATATAGTCAGACTGCTACAAGTATCAGCGGAAAGGGAGCATTTTGGCTGCTGAAGATGGGTGTGGAGCACTTAGGGAATGTACGCAGTGCTGTGTTGCTAGTTCTTAACTTGAGTCAGATAAACTTAAATCAAATAAAGCAAGTTGGTTACATTTGTATTCTCCTCATAGCATAACATAACCCTTGACCCGTTAGGGTCGTAGAGGTGTATTGATGGAAGCACTGGCACATAAAACGCATAATCTTTCTCTGTCTTCTGTTTGATAAATAAGTGTATGATAACCTGGTCCTGTCCATTTCTTGATGTTGTCATCCCAGGTTCTCCTTTGACTATTCCCCCCCCCCCCCTCCCCCCAAATGTTTCTTGAAGTACAGTCTTTGCAATCAAATACTGTCTCACCACATGCCTAAACAAAGCTAGCTTGCGATGTTTCACCACCAATTCAAAGAGAGGCTGCATATTTTGTCTCGGACATATTTATTAGTTGTCTGTGCGTAAAATGCATCTATAACATTTACATTCGACAGCCCAAATTCTCCTTTCTATTTCCACAGCAAGAGTATTCTCCTCAGGCACTTCTGTACTCAAATCATTTATTTATGTTTACTATTCACTTCCCCATTCTTGCATGCCAGTTGTAACATGTGGCTGTGAATCCTGGACAATTAAAAAACAAGCCAACAAATTTTTTTTTTGGCCTTGGAAATGGGTTTGGGAGGGGGGGGGGGGGGGGGGGGGGGCGGAATAGAAGAATTCTTAGAATTCTTTGAACAGCCAAAAAGAGCAACCCATATGTTTTGAAAAGAGACGAGGGCTCGATGGCAACTTATCACAAACATCAGAAAGAGACATTCATCATAGTTTGGTCCTTGCGAGAAGAAGGAAACTGGAACGTGTTGTGATCACTGGAAAGCTCTGTCAAAAAAGAGACAGGAAGACATTGCAGAAAACTTCTGGACAGTCTTTTGTCATGGCATGAAGGGTTGTCAGCACACAAACTGATACATGCTGTTGAAGATCACAGATTGTAGAAAGCCTTTTAATTACCCACACCAGTCGGCGAGGCCCTTGATTATGTTGATGATGATTCACTTCACCATTTTTGGTCAGACAAGAAGTTTGACTTATATGTTTTAGGGGTTGAAAAATTGGCTTGTCACATTTTTCCGACTAATGTAGCCTAATTAGTTGTACCCCTTTACAAGTCTGTTGTTAAAGTTGACTAGTTAGGGGTTTGCTGAAATTGAATGTGTTAGGCCAAAAAGGAGTATATATCACAGCTTAGCTGTAAACTACAAAATGGTGTGCTTAAAGCCTTCTTAAGGGTGAACACAGAAAAAGAAGAAGAAAGCATTAAATATAGTTCTTGCTTGTCCTGTTCTATTTTTTTTTTATTCATGTGCTGCATGTTCCCTGTCGCCCTTTACAGACTTCATGATAGACTCTGGCAGTGATGTGTCTACAGTTCAGGAAGATACATTGAAAAAACTGAACCTGGAGCTCATTGGGCCAGTCTACAGCTGTGGTATCCATGGAGGCAACCATACAAACTTGTACAAAGGCAGACTGAAGCTGGGGGACCAGCTATTGGACATTGAGGTGAGATTTTGTATGGCTGTGTTTGGCCTTCTTCTGATTTTCTCCTGGAAGTTTTTATTGTCTGTCCATAGCATGTGATGGTGACCATTCTTTTCACCTGCTAAGTAGAGTTGGATACATGTGATTTTACCAGACTCACAAAGCATGTTGAGTAAGGTGGAGACAGGTATGCTCAGTTTAGGGTGGCAAACATTGCTTCAGAGATCCCAGTCATTAGTGTCCTTTGGAAATTTCTTCCAGGATATGCAGGTATATTGAGAAGTGAACAGGCAGACATATTGGCTGGTTCTGCACCAGTTGATAAAATGATGCATGACAAACCAAGTATGATCTGTGTTATTAAGAAGTGAAGAGTTAACGTTGCAGAGGCAGACATAAAGCATCACAGTCTGAAGAGATTGGTGTAGCGGGCAGTAAGAAGGCAATGTGTCCGCTGCAGTGTAAAGACCTTTGCCATGTCACCCAGCAAAGGCCGGCCTCACACTGTTTGACATGAGGCACTGGGTATAATTTGAGTAAACAGGGGAGGGGGGTGGGGGGGGTGTCCAGAATGCAGTGAGGATAACCTTACTCATAACTCTGATCTTCGTGGGTGTTCTAGGGCCCAATTAGAGAGGAAGGGAGGGAGATTAACCCCCCCCCCCCCCCCATCCCACAAGCATGTCGTAAAAGGTGACTAATTAGGGTAGTTTCATTCGAAGCCAAAGTGCATCTGCGGGAAGAACCAACAGTCTGCATAAAAGCCAGATCTGTAAAACAGATGTGCACACAAAACTCATGTTCTAGAACAAGATTAAAGTCCAGAAGTAGACGAACAACCAGAACTTTCTGCCGGAGTCTACAGCTGGTTAGAGCTTTCCGACACTCAACACTAAGGGAAAAGGCAAGACAAACATATAATCAAACTAGTACTGGTACCATTGAAATTGGAAGATAGGGATGGAGTGTTCGTGGGAATATCCTGTGTGCTATGATGTAATTTTCTTAAATTAACTCTTCATATGTGGATGACCGTTAAGGCATACCAGTAGGGAGGATTGTCCTGATTGTGGCGTGTTTATGTTCTTGTATTATTCTGCCCATGCATTACTTACTTACTTAGTCGCTCCTCTTTTACCTTGATGTGTAGAGGTTTGCCAGAGAGATCGCCCAACGTTACTATCAGCAGTTTTCCCTTGCATTAACATTACTTTAATAATTTTCACTGAACAGGTAATGGGTAGCAACTACGACTCTCTTGGCAGCCGGGTTGTCCGTCACTTCCGTCATGTCATAGATGGACATCGTCACATTTGGCTGAAAGGGAACTACACTGACCCCTGTCCTGCCATCATTCCCATAGAACTTCCAATGAGTAACAGTGCCTGTACTCAGATACAACATGTGAACCAACAGCAGCGTTTACTACCTATTGCTGCTGTAGACGGCACAGACACTGAATTGCTAGACCCCTGTTTAGGTCAGATGGCTGGAACATCTGGCATCAGTATTACTTCAGAAACTTCTCAAGAGTGTCCTAAAAGACCAGTCAACATTAAGGATATAAAAAGCACTGAACACCAGCTGTGTTTGAACTCAAAACAGTCCACAAGCGATTCAGGTCTGCTGCCTTCTCAACCGAATGTGTGTAATGGCCATTCGACCATGGAGAGTGTCTCTTTGGATAAAATGTCTTTGCATTCGCCGCATTCTTCACGTTCAACTTCAAAAATCCGCTCAAATATTGACGAGTACTCAGTGTCTGGAAGTAAGAGAAAGAAAAGCACAAAGTCAGGTTTCATAAAATCATCCCAGAAAAAGAAGCATAAATATTTGAAGCCCAGCTTACATAAAGAAGCTTTACATAAATTCTCTCCTAGTCCAGAAAAGACAGCATCACCATCTGCTGTTGCAAATTGTTCACAATCCCTGGAGAATCCTTCAGGAAGGGATCCTCTTCATAACAACAGAGTTTCACTTTGTAACATTCTTCCACATTCTCTAAGAGACACAGACGATGATGTTGATCATTTAGAAGGCTGTTTGAAAATCAGCACATCTTCCAGTTTTCATAATTCTCAGATTTCAGACAACAGCTTAGTTGGTACATTAGAGTACCGAAATGCGGATTCTGATCCTTGGCATAATGGATTTTCAAATAATCCTTATGATCAGAGTAGCAACCATGTGTACCAGAAGGCAGACAATGGTTTAAAGTGTAGAGTATATGATATTGTACATATAAATGGACTTTCTAATGAGGACCTGGAACATGATGCTGTTAGCAACAGTTACCCTACTGAAAGCAATGGGGCTAGAAATCAAACAAGCATGATCTTTATACCAGCTTGTGCTGGCATTACAGAAATACACTTAGAGGATGCAGATAATTGTTAACTTTAAGACACCTGCTGTTGCAGCCCTGATGAAAAACCATAATGCTAAAACACTATTGCCACAAGAAGCTATAAAACCAACATGTCTGGTTGAGACCAATTCCCCATAAATGTCACTTTTCCGACTTCTCTATAGCGACCCAGTTTACAAGACACATAGTTAATGCTGTTGGCTGTGTTTGCACCTCTGAAACCGTTTATTAGGTCAGGATGGGAATATATTAACTACAGACAGCATTTAGAGGAGCTTTCCATCAAAGCCAATTTTTTTTAGATTTTTTTTTTAGCAGTGATAGAGGTCATGGCTTGAGTTACCTCATTATATATATTATAGGCCCTAGGGAATGTGTTTCATAGAATGCATCATTCTGTTTTGTGTTGTTGATTAGTTAGTTAGTTGAGTATACTATACAGAACGTTGCGGCGCCAACCCCAGCATTTTTTGGCTGTTGTGGTTTTCCTAGGCAAGTTTACGTCCAATAGTTTGCCATTGCTTTCTGGACGGTCGGCTTCTTGATACCACTGTCGAAATCAACGCAAGGTGCAAGGCCCGCAGCTGGGATCAAACCTGGCACCCCGGCATTTCAAAGCGCGTTCGTAACGCCTAAGCCACAGATGCCAACTATTGTTGATTGCTACCTTTAGATATATATATATATATATATATATTTTAGAAAAAAATTAAAATATACGCATAAATACATGTTTCATAAATATACTAGTGACCTGTGTTTAAACAGTGTCATGATCCGAATTTGTTTAATGTTATCAGGTGAAAGGGTTAAAATTAGCAACCCAAGACAAAGGTAAATGGGAGAGGATTGACTTCATTGCTGGGGGTTTTATACTATCTGGCTCAGTCTCTCTCTGCAGAACAGCTAGCTGCCTGCTGAGAGCGTCACACAGAGCACGACCACCTTTGCTCCGGCAATGATCCCCTGGGGTCTCCATAAAAATTGCACTCGTGAACTGAACGCCGCTGCCGTGAAACGAACCCACGACTTTCAGAAAGCGAGGTAAACGGCTTGACTACTTCACCACGGAGACCCCCAACAACCCAAGACAGGAGTTAGGAAAAGGGCTTGATCACTGACTCACTGACTGACTTTCTACCCCACCAGGACATCCCACAAGCAATAAACACCCAATGACACAATGTGCCACCATGTGGATGAGGATCACTGTGGAGAGGTCCCAGAAACCACGTTCAGCCATTAATTTATGGCCTGGCTATATTGCGGCCCCAGGCAAGAGCCAGGGTGGGGCTTAAAATAACAAAAAATTTCATCCTAAAAGGATGGAAAAATGTTGGTATCAACAAGAATTGAGGCACTTAATCACTAAAGAGTTTAGTCCACCTGTTTTTCTTTACAACTTTAAGATCTCTTGGAGTCTAAAAGACAATGAACTCGTAAAACTACAAATGGTAACACTAGGTAACAAGCACAAGAATAATGAAGGTGATTCCCTTTTCAAACACCGAAGTATCGTGGAAGTCAAAAGACAGTTGATCAACACTGTCCCTATATGGGTTCTGCGGCCCACTGACCTCTAGAATGCATGTTGTAAAAGGGGACTTATTAGGGTGTTTCTTTCAAAGTCGGGGTGCAGCTAGCTACCTGAGAGGTAAAGAACCAACATACAAGTCATAGATCACAGTCAGCCTACAAATAAGCCAGATCTGTAAAACTTATGTGCATGCAGAACTCTACTTCTACAACAGGACCAAAGTCCAGAAGTGGATGAACAACCAGAAGTTTGTGCTGGAGCTTACAACTTATGAAATCTAAGAAGAGGAAGAAGATCAGCAGTAAATCAAACAAACTCTTTGTCACAAATATCAGCCTTGTTCAGTAACCAAGGCATAGAAGAGGAAGACCGCAACAAGGAGGTGAGGTGCCTGGTGTGAGATATCTTTGTAACCTGAAGATATAGAGACATAATGACATCAAAGAAATCTTATGAGCCAAACAGTGGATTCATTACATAGAGAGGCAGTGAGCTTTTTTTAATTCTTTGCTTCCACCGGCTGTAAACTCAGGCAGAAAGTTCTGGTTGTTCGTCTTCTTCTGGACTTTAATCTTGTTCTAGAACATGAGTTTTGTGTGCACATCTGTTTTACAGATCTGACTTATATGCAGACTGTTGGTTCTTCCCGCAGTTGCACTTTTGCTTCGAACGAAACTCCAATAATAAGTCACCTTTTAGGACATGCTTGTTGGGGGGAGGGGGGGGGGGGGTTGAGGGGGGGGGGCAGTTGGTTTATTTCCTTCCCCCCCCCCCCCCCCCCCAACACAAAAAATTAACCCTAGAATCCCCATGGAGATCAGAGTTATGAGATAGGATATCCTCACTGCATTCTGGACACCTCCGTAAGTGCTAGAAACCTCCCCCCCCCCCCCCCGCCCCCCCCCCCCCCCCGCTAAAATTATACCCAGTGCCTCATGTTAAACAGTGTGAGGCCTTTGCTGGGTGCCACTGCAAAAGTCTTTACACTGCAGCGGACTCATTAGCATGCTATGGCAGTTCAGAAAACCGGTTCAGTTGCCTACAGGGTGTATAGTCAAGCCCCTTTCCTCCCCCCCCCCCCCCATGTTGTTTTTTGTTATAACACTGTCAAGCATTGTGTGTCTTCCTATGCCCCCCCCCCCACCCCCCCCCCATGTGTTCTTTGTTATAACACTGTCAACCATTTTGTGTCTTCCTATGCCCCCCCCATATGTGTTCTTTGTTATAACACTGTCAACCAGTGTGTGTCTTCCTATGCCCCCCCCCCCCCCACCCATGTGTTCTTTGTTATAACTGTCAACCATTTTGTCTTCCTATGCTCCCCCTTCCCCCATGTGTTCTTTGTTATAACACTGTCAACCATTTTGTGTATTCCTATGCCACCCTTCCCCCGTGTGTTCTTTGTTATAACACTGTCAACCATTTTGTCTTCCTATGCCCCCCCTTCCCCCATGTGTTCTTTGTTATAACACTGTCAACCATTTTGTGTCTTCCTATGCTCCCCCCCCCCATGTGTTCTTTGTTATAACACTGTCAACCATTTTGTCTTCCTATGCCCCCCCCCCCCCTTCCCCACCACTATGTGTTCTTTGTTATAACACTGTAAACCATTTTGTGTCTTCCTATGCTCCCCTCCCCCCATTTGTTCTTTGTTATAACATTGTCAACTATTTTGTGTCTTCCTATGCCCCCCCTCCCCCATGTGTTCTTTGTTATAACACTGTCAACCATTTTGTGTCTTCCTATGCTCCCCCCTCCCCCATGTGTTCTTTGTTATAACACTGTCAACCATTTTGTGTCTTCCTATGCTCCCCCCTCCCCCCATGTGCTCTTTGTTATAACACTGTCAACCATTTTGTCTTCCTATGCTCCCCTCCCCCCATGTGTTCTTTGTTATAACACTGTCAACCATTTTGAGTCTTCCCATGCCCACCCCTCCCCCCATGTGTTCTTTGTTATAACACTGTCAACCATTTTGTCTTCCTATGCCCCCTCCTTCCCCCATGTGTTCTTTGTTATAACACTGTTAACCATTTTGTGTCTTCCCATGCCACCCCTTCCCCATGTGTTCTTTGTTATAACACTGTCAACCATTTTGTCTTCCTATGCCCCCCCCCCCCATGTGCTCTTTGTTATAATACTGTCAACCATTTTGTCTTCCTATGCCCCCCCCCCTCCATGTGCTCTTTGTTATAACACTGTCAACTATTTTGTCTTCCTTCCCCCCCCCCCCCCCCCCCCCCACCACTATGTGTTCTTTGTTATAACACTGTCAACCATGTTGTGTCTTCCCCATGCCCCCCCCCCCCTCCCCACCACTATGTGTTCTTTGTTATAACACTGTCAACCATTTTGTCTTCCTATGCCCCCCCCCCCCCCCCATGTGTTTTTGTTATAACACTGTCAACCATTTTGTGTCTTCCCATGCCCCCCCCCCCCCCCCCCACATGTGTTGTTTGTTATAACATTGTCAACCAGTGTGTGTCTTCCAATTTTGAAACAGATCATGCTTACCTTCAGTGTTGGGCTGTTTATTGTTTAAATAGCTGATTTCATTTTATAATGACAACATTGCTGTACTTTGTTTTATAATTAGTCGGTGATTTGGTTTGCTTGTTGCCTATTCATGTTTGGTTTTGCTTGTTGCTTGGCTGTTTGTTATTATTGCTCATTGTTCCATGTCACATGAGCCACTGAGCTCAGAAGTGTATAATTTAAAAGATAATTTGCTGTCAGGTGTCAAAGTTCTATGAAACTGTTGTTATCATCATAGCTCATGGATACATGTAACGTTTGTTTTCATAGATCATTGTTCTGTGTAACTTTGTTTATTATAGATAACATTTGGGTGTATTTTTTGTTATCATAGATCACAATTATAAGTAACTTGTTATCATAGATCAAGGCTATTCAACTAAGTTCACTCAGGGGCCACAACTCTGAAAATGGGGATCCTCACAGGCCACTGGCCCGAGCCCCAGCGAAGAAAGATCATGAATCCAGTAATCTGGTAATTTTAATTTCAGCTTCATAGCAAATGGGTCACCCCATCTTTGCTCCGCTCCTGTGCCAACGAAAAACACACAGAATGTTTATCAGTCCAGTACAACTGACAAAGATCCGCGTGCCTCTTGCTAGACCTCTGCGGGCCACATTTGGCCAGTGGGCCGCCAGTTGAATAGCCCTGTTATAGATCATACTTTCATGTGACATTTGTTATCTTAGGTCATTTTATTTCCATGATACTTAGTGATTATAGGGTATAATTCCATTTTATCATAACAAAAGGCTTTCTTTTTTTTTTTTAGCTGCATTGAGTCGTATAGGACTGTTGGTCTATCATTGGTTTTATATATTGTGATGTTGGTGTTACAGTATAGGATATTTGATTTTATCAAATTTTGTAAGGGCATATTTATTTACAAATTGTATTCTAAGTTTTATTATTTTTAGTTTGTTAAGAGCATATGAAATTCATAACCAAACACTTGTATGTTTCCACTCTTTTAATTTTCTTTTTTTCTGTTTGTACATTTCAGAATTGTTTGTTTCATGTAATCTGAATATTTTTTAAGGGTAAAATTTTCAGTTTTCATATTTTGTAAATGTGATATTTTTAATGTTGAAACATATATATTTATTTTTTTTATATTGGCAAGTGAATGAAAAAGTTTGTTGTATTGAATTTGTATGTGCGAGTTAAAAGATGGGATTTTTATTTGGTTAATAAACATATTAATTTGGTGATAATTTTTTTTTCAATATTGTACAGAAATGCTGTAATTTATGTTGTTTACTCACATATTCCTATCTGTAAGGACATACAAGCTGTTTGTGTGTCTTTTTAAAATTTGCCTGTGTGGGTCCCAGAGAAAAAAAAAAAAGTAGATCCACTATCTATTTACTAGCATGTCTAATGAGAATGGTCCAGTAAGGCGTGACCAGGGACTCTGACTGATGCTTAGCACTGAGAGGAGGAGCATGACAGATATACAATCTGAATGTTGCTGGAACCATCTGAATTGGAACTCTTCATTGCTGCTGAAGATGGGGAGGGAGCGCTTATGGGAATGTACAAAGAATTTGTGATGTCGCTTCTTAACTCATAACCCATAGCACATCCTAAAAGGTGACTTTTTATGAGTTTGCACTGGACACAAGGTTCCAGCCCTTTAACTCTTTTAGTCTCGGGTGTTTAGCATCAGAAGCCGAAGGGGTAGTAAGAGAGACGAAAAAAATCAGTACATCTTGCATTCATTGAGCTTCTGGGTAGGAACCTGTGAATGTATGAGGCGTTTCTTGTGACTGAAAGAGTTAAATAGGTGAACACAGAAAAAGAAGTCAAAGAAAACTGCACTTTTTTGCACCGGGGTTTATCCCATATAGCTCTGTCTCTTTCCCCAGAATGGCTAACTTCCTGCCGAAAATTTAACATGGAACACAAACTGTGTATCACAGATACAGTTTTGAGCATATCTCTTACATGGACATCTGTACACCCTGATTCTGCTTTCATGCCATTCCGTCATCAGTGTAGATTCAGGGGGGAGTTAAGAAAGGTATATTATGTAAGGAGTTAACAAACTATGCTTGATAAGTTGTTTCATACCGAAAGAGTTGAGGCCTTGTCTATGTTTTGGTCGCCATGGGCTAATGAGATATAAATTTCTAGTTATACTATTAACTTGTTTCTCTTAAAGTGAGTTCTGTCCAGTGCTGGTAGGTTTTCTTAACATTTTGCTTTTCGTGGCAACTTTTTTACTTTTGACAGTAATTAGCAATCGCATTTTCCTCCATACCTAGATTGAGAAGATATATTTCTGTTGCCCTGCTACTGAGTTGAATGCACAATGCGACACTGTGAGCAGCAGATTTCATAAGGTGTGCTTTTTTGACTGTGCCTAAATGGTTTGTGTTTTGAACTGCCGATTCAGAAAACTGAGTGACCTGTTACCAGAGGACTGCTGGTACCTTATGCAATTGATTGCTTGCTATCTGTTGTTGTTACTGATCTGTTGTCACTGCTGCTTCCATTGACAGTGAACTGCATTTCTAGTGTTGGACTGTGTATGTGTGCTGTTGGCTTTGCTGAGACTACCTCTGTTTTTTCTTTTTTTTTCATCGAACACCGGCTGTGAATTCCAGTGGAAGGTCCCGGTTAATCGTCCGCTTGGACTTTTGGCTTTCACCTGGACCTGATTTTTGCGTGTACAACCGTTTTTCATTTCCCTGCCTCTTGGGCAGCTGTACGCCGACTTCGAAGGAAGACGTCAGGCCTATTTCTAGGGTGACTGTGGCCATTGTTTTGTGTGGGTCGAGACTTTGCCTGATTTGTGTGGTGTCCGCCTTGTCTCCTTCGCCGCAGGTATTGCCCCCGGAGTACCCCTTTGGGGCAGCCCCCTGTGAAACAGTTGGCCCTCAAGGAAAGGCAGGGGCAGATCATGGGCATTCCCCGCCATCCAAGGAGGCTTCCATGCATGCAGAGCCGGCACATGGCGCTCTGGTTCTGGGCTCGCCCAAGGAATCGTCACGTCCTGCACATGCCTGCTTAACCTCACAACCGTATCAGACCTCCCGCTCGACAGGGGCTGCGCCCTCTGGAAGTCAGCGGGGAGCAGCCCGTGGGTTTTGGACTTTTGTGACCACACAGATAGGTACATTAGCCCGACAGAATTTCACATCCTGAATCAGGCATATCGTTATCAGTTTTGTCCCAACACTCGGGCGAGTGGGGTCTTTGGGTGTGGACATTCGGCCTTTTTCAGTTCAGTGCAAATTTTGATGGTCAGATTTTGATCCGTATGATCTAGTTTTGTCGGACATTTAGGCTTAGCCATCCGATGGATGGTTGCTGTTGTGGTGTACCACAGCGCGGTGACGACGACACTGAGGGTTAACCGAGGATGTACGTGACTGGCCAGCCTATGGATGGTTGCTGTTGTGGTGCACCTCAGCGCGGTGACGACGACACTGAGAATTAACTGAGGATGAGCGATGAGCAATGTTCTCTTTACTCAGCAGTCTTTTAACCAAGGGTTGTAATTTTAGCTGTACTTTTGTCAAACCTACTCATGTTCCTGGTGAGTTTTGATAACATTTTTTACCCAAGCGTTTGGGGGCGGGCTGATGAGAGCCACAAGGACACATCACCTCTGGGGGCCGCCAAACTCCGAGATCCCCTGACAGCTCTGTTAATGCTCATTTGAGACATTATCCGTGGCGCACGACGAGGACGTGCTGTAGGGGTCTTGCGTGAGGTTCCGTACAACCAGGATAGTAAAGGACTGGCGCCCGAGTGACGTACGGAGTATCTCCTTATACACATCATGTTGGACTTAACTTCCCCTCACGCCTGTGACATAAATCACCGCGCCACTACCTCTGTTAATTTTCCCACTAGGGACAGTGATGGATACCCTGTGTGAAAGGTCAGGACAGGCATACTTCGTGCAGAGTGGCATGCTTCACTGTGGAAAGCACGGGTGAGGAGTATTGTCTGGATTTTTTCACTGGGAGACGCCGTTGTGTTGGGAAATGAACAGGCGGACAGACTGGTTGGCTTTGCACAACTTGGTGAAATACTGATGTATGATAAGGCATTCGTGGTCAGTGCCTTGTGGGAGAGTTTGTACAGTTCGGAGGAGCAGATGGATCACCACAGTCTGGTGAGATTGATGCAGCGGGAAGTGACGAGAGGTTCTGGCAAATGCTTGAGGCTCAGAGGAAAGGCAAGAGAGACATTTAATCAGAATGCTTCTGGCACCATTAGTATAGGAACTCTTCACTGGCTGCTGAAGATGGGGATAAGTGCTTATGGGAATGCTAGGAGTGCTGTGATGTTGGTTCTTGAATCAACTCAACTCAACCCAATGTGGCTTTTATTGACACAGGAACAAGGCAACAATAGAGTGACCTGCTTGCTGTGCAGCTGGAAATGTGATTACATGATGACCTGATACCTTTGGCTACCCTGGGATTTGTCTCCATATCATCAGCTCTGCCTTAGTAATTATGTCAAATCATTTAGTTATCTCTGTGTTGGCTTCTGGCCAAAGAGTGCAGATATCATAGTCTAGCTGTAAACAGCAACATAATGTGCCAGCAACTCTTTTAAAAGTGAACACAGAAGAAAAAAAAAAAGATGTTAAAGGTAATATGTGTAAGTTTGGTCTTAAGAACGCTACTAGTCTGTCATTAAGAAGACATATGTTCAAATCCTCTATACGGTTAAGGTTTTTTTTCTGTTGGGGGAAAGGGGGGGGGGGAGAACTAAACACACAGTTCTAACTTGTAAAGTTCAAGGCAACTGCATTAACCATGCAGACCTAAATTTTCAAGGCACAGAGCCTATAATACCTCAGAGGTGATTGGTAGGAACAAGCAGTAATGGCAGTTCTAATAGGTCAGCTGTGTCTGCCAAACTGCAGATTACTGCCTTTATTTTGCAGTGTGGGCAGGGGTATCTTTGAGCCTAGGGATTTACAGCTGCATGGCTAGTGCTGTTGCCACGACTGTGAACGTGCAGATTTTATTTTGCCCCCGACAGAAAAAAATCCCCAGCCTTACCGAGGATTCGAAACCTGGTCTCCAGCTTGAGAGCCCAGCATTCTAACCGTTCGGCCAGCATCTCCTCCTAGCTGTCACTACTGTCTGCAACTACTGTATTTCCCACTTTTTTGGGGCAGTGTAGACAGGGGTTTTCATGAGCCTAAGGATTTAGGTCTGCATGGCTAGTGCTGTTGCCACGGACTGTGCAGACTAGGATTTTTTTCCCTCCCCCAAAGGGAAAACTCCATCATTTTACCGGGGTTTGAACTCTGGTTTCCCATTTAAGAGCTTGTTGTTGTAACTGCTTGGTCAGTCACTCCTCTCATTCTGATAGGTATTTAAATGTTTTTTTCTTTTTTTATCTCATAATTGTCCTAGTACTTTTGTGTTTTTAAAAATTATCTTGAACATCTGTCTTCACAAGTATTTTTGTCTTCACAAGTATTTTAAAGATATTGGATTTTTAATGAGAATTTAAAAAAAGCTGAAGAAAAATCAGGTACAACTAAGTGACTTACACTTTACTGAGTGTTTTAATTTAAAATTTGCACTCAACATGCAATAAAGGAAGTTTGATCTTCTGTGGATTGGAACCTGTGCCATTAAGTCTGTACTGCTCACGAATATTTATATCAGAGGGACACCACTCTGCGGATGGTGTGCAAGCGATCTTGAGACGCTGTAATGAGAAATAACATTTTAGCTTCAAAATCATTTGTTTGTATAAACTTGAGATATTTAGTTGTCTTCATATTCTGTGTTAAAAAGGCAGGAATTACATTGTCCAACAATTTAATAATGAGACTGATTTTATTACTGCCAAGACAAAAATGTCATTCATGGAGCAGAGTGGTTCTCTGACTAAGCAAAATTCATCTATCATATGCCAGAATTGTCAATCAACAGATGAAAAGTTGACTGCCATTTTGTTTACCCTGTGAGAAATGCATGGTTACTTATGCAGCATGTAGCAATCAGAGAACATTGAATTATGGTTTAGTTTTGAAAGAGTGCTCTTAAGACAACTGAATGAATGGATACATTTATGAGGATCACTGTTTATCTATCATCATCCTCACAGTCAGACATAGGTCTACATGTATACATTTTTTGACTTTGGCAATGAGTTCATGGTTTCGAGCAGAAGTTGGATGTCCCAGCCCAGCTTCATCTTCAGTTTTATCCACACCAGTTTTGAATCGTAAATACCACTTGAACATTAAAGATAAACATTGATCCTTTTAAACTTTTAGCCAGGGGATTAGATTGACAGTCTACATTCAGAAGAAAGCCAAGCCGGACATATAATCAAATTGCTACTGGTACAATCAGAACTTGCAACAGTATTTAGACAGGCTAAGTTCCACATGCAAAAATATAACATGAAAATAAATACTAGTGAAACTGAAGTAAGGCAGGTCAGCAGAATTCCTAGTCCGCTACTTATCGGGTTGAAGGGTGCTTGTCTGAAGCAAGTTGAAGAATTTAAATATCTAGGAAGTATATTCTCGGGGGACGGGAGAATGGATTGGAAAATAAAAACAAGATACCAACGAGCCAGTGCACTTAAATATCAACTAACACCCTTATTAAGACATCCAATATGAGCAAATCCCATACCAACCCTGTACTACCAGTGCCAGATGTGGATATTATCAAAGGCTAAACTATGTAAAATTAACATCTGTGAAATGAGATGCCTGAGAAAACCCGCAGACGTAGCCATCTGAGGAAAAGTTAGAAATGAAATTTTCTGTAAATACAACACCATGCAACAAATTAATTCACAAACAGAAGATCAAATGGTTTGGTCATTTGTAAGAATGCAGCCCAGAAGAACCACCAACCCGTGTACTGCACAAGAAAAGATCTGAAGTTGGACCAAGAGGCTGCTCTAGGAGAATATGGATTGATGACATTCAAGAGCTTCTACATCAGCATGGATTACAAACTGTTCATCCCCACAATGCTTAACGGCAGAAATGGAAATTGATGATAATGATGATGACAATCGGAAGTGGAACTCTTCTCCGGCTGCAGAATATTAAGATGGGGTGCTTATATATATCCAGTACTGGAATGTCATGTCTTGGCTCAGCTCAGTACAAGTTACGCCTTGGAAAGCACCTTGAAAATATATCAAACCGAAACGAGAAAGAGAATTAGTTAGCTTTACATTATTACAATCATGAACGACAAATGAACTCTGCGGTTATAGAGCATTCATCAGCATGTAATATAAACAAACAAGTATACATTTACAAACGAGAATAAACGACGTCATGTAACTCTGAGCTGAGGAGTCTCCTGGAAATATTCATAAACACCTGGACCGTGGAAGCTCCGAGTCACGTGTGATACCGGAAAGTGTGAACTGGACAAGAGGAGGCTTGGCAGACTATGGCAGTGGCCATAACTTAAATATTTTAGATTAAGCTTGACAGGGATGCCATAGGACAGATAAGTCTCAAGAGACTTGATATTTCTTTTATTGTTGGAGTGGCTAAACTTGATCGCCTTTTTTTGTGTGCCTTTTTTTTGCCAACTTCTTTGAAAAATGACTTCAGTCGGAAAAGCTAGATTGGACCACACAATCTCCAATGAAGCTGGGCATAGATACCGAAAAGGGCAAATATCACAGCTATGTTGTAAACATGCACAAACCAAAATCCGACGATTGTTGAATAAAAATAAATATGGTGTCAAAAGTTGAGACTAACCGTTTTAAAGCTGCCTTGCAGAGTGGCCAGATAGACTGCTGCAAACAGTAGAATGGGTATCAGTGGCAGGCTGGCGATGATCCAGCCCATAAAGATGGCCCATGGACTGTAAGTATAGCCCTCGAATACAGGTGGTTCATATGTGAGCAATAGGTTTATCATCACACACTGCAGAATACAAATATGGTTGCAGTCTTAGTAGCATGCTGTGGAATTTGTATCAAGGGCACCAACCCAAAGAAAACACCGGCGGTTCATACGTGAGCAAGGTGGTTACCATCACACACTAGAGGACACAAATATAGTTTGAGTCTTAGTAGCATGCTGTGGAATTTGTAACAAGGGCATCGACCCAAAGAAAACACTGGAGAAGCATATCCTCCACCCAACCTATTACATATTTTACAGGCAAAGAAAGGGGGTCTAGACTAGTTTAAGAACATGATAATAATAATAATACAGTAGCTGGTGGTAAATATAAAATAAACTTGAAACAATATGAAATGTATAAAGAAATACTTTTAAAGAGAATTTATACACATGATGTAGCGCCTTATTCCCCCCCCCCCCCCCCCCCCAACACAATTTGGAAAGAACCTCAATGAGCCACAGCCCCTAGATTTGGGAGCCTATGCTTCTTATGGATTGGTTAGTTAGTTACTGATAATTTTACAAGACTTTGCAAACTAAGCCTAACATTTACTGGCTGTTGATGGTTCTGTTAGGCATGTTTTACATTCAGTAGTTTGCCATTGCTTTTTTTCCCATGACAAATCTTCATAAAGTCAATGCTGCCTGGTATTAGCAGTCAGAGAGTGAGTGACGTATGTTTAAGCTCACTAGAACTGTACAACAATCGATTAACCCCCCAGTGATACAAAGTGCCACCATTCGCATGAGAATCCCTCAGACACAGGTCCCAGAAACCCTGTTCGACCGTCAGGTTATATTAGGGCCCCTGATGACAGTTACGAACTAATCCGAAGTCCAGCCAGAGGTGACAGTTATGAACTAATCTGAAGTCCAGCAGAGGTGACAGATACGAACTAATCCGAAGTCCAGCCAGAGGTGGGGGCTTTAATATATATATATATAAAATATAGTGTTTTATTTTGGAACGGGTTATACTGAGTTGAGCTGAGTCAAGAATTGACCACATTGCACTCGGGGCATTCCCATGCAAGCTCTGTCCTCATTTTCAGCAGCCAGCGCAAAGTTCCAGTACTGATGGTGCCGGTCACAATCTTGTTAAAAGTCTGTCTTGTCTTTCCTCTGAGTGTATGTAAATAATGTAATGGCAACCACGTCTTTTCCCCATCCTTATGTCTTGTGTGCTTTCAGTTATGTCTGACACTGATGATCATTAATGCTATGATGGAAGTCTGTCCCGCATCTGGTCTTTGGGGCCTCTTTCAATCCCCCCCCCCCCAACTTTCATCCCGCCCCTTTCCCCCTTTAACTTTCCTGTTCTCGTGATTCCTACGATTATGAGACAGTTGAAATGGTACAATTATGAGAAGAAAGTGATCTTAAAATCCATGCCATATGGCGTTGGTAGTCATGTCTTATCCGCAACTTTCTGTCTCCAGTACTTTCAGTCAACTCTGATACAGATGATTCTCCATGACATGATGTAAAACCGTCCAGCAGCTTTTCTCTCAGTCTTCCTGTACCTCTCTTCTCCTCCAGCTTTCCTACTGTCGCGATGCACTCCAATTTGTTCTTGCTCATCAAATGACCAAAGAATGTAAACTGTTTTGTTTTTTGTTTTGTTAATTTGTTAATGATGCGGGTTAGTCAGCTCTCAGGAGTCAGTTTCTTTCAAGACATCTTCATTACTCTTTTTATCTGTTGAAAGTATTCGTCTTTCACATTATAGGATGGGCTACACAGGCTACTACTCTTCTTCGTCTTAGGGCTCACCGGCTGTAAAATTCAGAGAAATTGTCTGGTTGTTCGTCCACTTCTGAACTTTGGTCTGGTTCCAGAACTTAAGTTTTGCACGCACATCCATTTTAAATATTTAGCTTATTTGTAAGCAGACGATTGGTTCCTCTCCTCTCAGGTAGATTCAATCCAACTTCGAAAGAAACATCTATATTTGGTTGCCCTTTACAACATGCTTGTTGGAAAAGGGGGCAGTGAGTATAGCTAAACTAGAGCCCCGGCACCGATAAGGGAAACGCAGTGACTAATGTTTCAGCATATAATAAATACAATAACGTGGAACACATATTTACCGCAAGTGTAAAAGGTGTGATGTACTTCCACATAATGGCAAACAAGAAAGGTGGGCGACGGCCAATCATCAGTTCTATGTCGTCATAAATGTTTTCTACGCCTGGAAAAGTATGTTGTATAGGATCTCGTGGATATTGTTCATGAATCAGTAGGTATTTAAATAATTAAACAATATTAATTATGCATGCACGAACAGAATTCCTAATCTGTTTTAATCACCATTGATCACTGGCATCATGAGAGCTAATAGACTAAAATGGCTTGGGCATATTGAGAGAATGTCAAATGACATGGAAGTAAAAACTATATACAAGGGAGCTGAATGATCGTAGACCACGAGGCAGACCAAGATGATGATGGAGAGATAATATCAAGACAGACCTGCAAACACTTGGTGTCACCAACTGGAAGGAGGTCAACCAGAGAAATGAGCGGAGGCGAGTGATATCTGTAGCAATGAACCTCAAGGGCTCGGAATGCTGAAGAAGAAGAAGAAGAAGAAGAAGAAGATGCACAAACAGAGATGTACCTTTTTTAAGTACACGCCAACACAAAAAGATCTGAAGTAAAAGCAGGAAGCCGCCATAGGAGAATATCATTAAAGAGCTTCTACATCAAAATAGAATGAAAATAGCCATTACTGTCCATCAAGCAATGGATCGCAAACTGTTTATTCACCCAACGCTTAACGGCAGAAGTGCAAATTTATGATGATGATAATGATGATGACGCATAGATTAAAAAACCTAATAGCAGAAAGAAATGGATGGGGTTAAAGAGGAAGCAAAGGCGGGAGAATAAAGACGTAGCGATAGTTATGAGAACAAGAAGAAGAATAGGAACAGGAATACAAACAGGAACAAGAGTATGAAGAACATCATAAGTCACTTGCCAGCTGTCGTAGGCGTTCATGCATCGCCACAGATCTCGGTCTTTGATATTCTGGATCAATTCCATTAATGATATTCCTCCACACCACTGTCTTAAGCCATCCATCACCATTTCTCTTGGTTTGTCTCTGCCTCTTCTACCAGCTATCTTTCTAGTCGTCACGATATTTTCCAGTGCTTCTTGTCTCATCACACGACCAAAAAACTTTGTCTCCTTCTCATTGTTATAAATAATGTTATACTCTCATTACCACGAAGAACGGACATAATTAAAAGGGATATAATAAGAAGGATGAAGAGAAGAAGAAGATGATGATGACGATGATGATGATAATGGTAGTCATAACGATGACAGTGAAAGAGAAGGGAGATAAGAAGGGATAACTATTTACTGCTGACAGTCAGTTAAACCATCGGACTTGCCCTATCCTTCTTTTTCTTTGATCCTTCTGCTCGAAAAACTTATATACAGTGTAGATCTGGTAAGGAGGACTCGCTGTGGACCCAAAGCGGGTTCTTCTTATAAGAAATTCCTCTCATCCGGATAAGAGTTCAAGCAAAAAACATTGTAGGGGATAAACAAATGGTTCTTCCCAGGAGAAATTTGTCACGTCCGAGACCTTCTTAAGCCGTCTGTACTGGGTAAGAAGGTCATGATAAAAGCTATTGTGCGGTCCACATTTCCCAGCGTGCAATGCTTGTTTTGCTTGAGGCTAAAACAGGCTACATTAGCAGGAGGCACAAACAGATCCTAACGGTCTGAGGAGAGCGGCGCTGCGGGGAGTTACCAGGGGATCTGGCCGACGCTCAACACTCAAGGTAAAGGCGAGACGGATGCAAATCAGACAGTTACTGGTACCAATGGAATTGAAACTCTTCGCTTGCTGCTGAAGAAGGGGACGGAGAGGCAGCGACCCTAGCGCTGTGATATCGATTTTTAATTCAACATTCAAGGAAACTCACCGTATATCCAGGCAACCACGACGCATTCTAATATTCCAATAACGAAAGATGAAAAGGCACTAATGTACCAGTCAAACAGTACGAAGATGTACATCCCTCCCTGAAAATTAATTACCAAAGTCAATAAAATGATCACTGGCAATAAACGACTAGGTAGGCATTCAGCTGTATGACAAAAGTGGTAGGCTGTCTAAAGTAAAGTAAAGCCATTTTTAGGCGGTGTCTATGGGAGACTAGTTACGTTGCAGAACCAACTCCAGCGTGTTTTGGGCTGTTGTGGTTTTTCTAGGCAAAGGTAAAGTCGGGAGATGTTAACCATTGTCATTGCACACGGTTACAAACCATAAGTGCTCTGCCACCAGTACCGACAGCTGATAAGAAACTGTCCGCCTGTGTTGACGTCCGCACGCCACTCCATAGCTACAGCGACGTTCCTCTGTTTACCCCAGAGCATTAATTCTGGTACCCACTAACTAGAGGCTGGGGGAACCCCGGGAACAGCCGGGTTTTAAACACCGACCATTAGCTAAAGCGAGTCGCAGCTGGATTTGAAAGCCAGTCTCATATCGACTACGCTAACGAACTAGATTCGCAGCCTCATTGGGCAGGTTTTCCATTAGCGACGTGGTCGACTCAGACAACATCATCATGAGCATTGTCCTGTTTTGTCATTGTATGTCACATAGGACTTGCAGTCTATTCCTTCATTCCCTTCTTCTCCTTTTTCATGTTTACCAGCTGTAAACTCCGGCGGAAAGATCTGATTGTTCGTCCACCTTTGGACTTTGGTCTTGTTCCAGAACCTGTGTTGCATGCACATCAGTTTTATAGTTTGTCTTATTTATATGCAGACTGTTAATTCCTTTCATTTCAGGCCGATGCATTCCGACTTCGAAGGAAGCTCTCAATAAGTAGTCTCTTACGACATGCTTTGTAGGGAGGCAGTGGGTCTATTCTTGTTTTTCCCACATTGGGCCGTTGAACCCACACGGGGAATCGTTTTTGTATTATTATTATTGTTATTATTATTATTATTATTATTATTATTATTATTATTATTATTATTATTATTATTATTATTATTATTAATATTATTATTATTATTATTATTATTATTAGTAGTAGTAGCAGTAGCAGCAGCAGCAGCAGTAGTAGTTGTAACGTTACATTTTTCCCCTTCGCCCCTCGTTCCCATACAACATCTCTCCTAGCTCTTCTTGTTCTTCAACTCTCCTACGCTTCGACCTCCTTTCTCTTACTATTTGTTTACGTTAATATACATACAACTTATCATAAACATAAGAAAGAGACAATCATCATTGTAAGGATAAGAAGGAACATGGAACATGCTGTGACCACTGGAAAGATCTGTGGAAAAAAAGGTATAGATGAAGATAACTTGAGACGATTATTTACAGTCTTTCTGCATGGCATGGAGGGGTGTCAAAACAGGAACTGATACACGCTGTTGTAGACCACAGATTGTAGAAAAACATGATCACCTGAATCAGTCGGCAAGACACTTGATGATGATGATTCACTTCACCATTTTCAGGAGACCAATGGTCAGACCAAGAAATTTGACTTATTATGTAGTCTAGAATATGGATCTTTTGCTACTTCTTCTTCATCTGCTCATCATTTCCCCATGGAGCATAGACGGTCAACCGATTCACGTTAAGTCGTCATATCCTCTGCTATTGCATGCAGCTCAGTTATATGTTTCGCAGAATTAGCTTCATTTTTGTCCCAGAGGATGCTGGTGTGAAAGGCAATGAGAGAGCAGACACCCTGACTGGCAGTGAGACTATCAGGAATGGGCCCTCAATGGACAGGAGAGACATCGTCAATGCCATACGAGAGGCGTCTAAACGCTGTGAGGCTTTCAGTTTCGTGAAAAATGATTTTTCACTGAATAGACTGCATACCCTGGGTGTAACTGTTGGAGCAGCCAGACAGAAAAGCCAGGCCGGAGCCGCGCGTCAGAATGGGGGTTGTTAGGGTAAAAACACTTGGAGACAACATGAGGAGATGGGAGCACTCATGGTCATGTCAGATGTGCATTCTTCTTCTTCTTCTTCTTCACTTCCTCTTTTACCACTGTGGGTGTCGAGGGAGATATAAGGTTCTGTTTCTAGCTCTTCTGGCCGCCTCGACCATAGGCGTGCATTGATGATCTTTAAATAAACGATAGCAGCTCAGTTAACGAATGTTTTTGGTTTTTTAGTAACTATGTATAATGTTTTCTTACTAAACATATAAAAATATAGGTCTAGCCCTATTTGTCCTATACGCCTAAAGGCGTGGAAAAGGGATATTTAATTTTTTTTTTTACTTACAAAATAGCTCGCACATTCATATTATATGGTTAACAACTGACTGTACACGCATATATTTACCCTAGATGCTAAAGGCATGGCAGTGACGAACAAAAACAGGCAGACTCCAACTGTGATCAAGGCCTTCCATTTTCTCGTCTGGCGGGGTATAGCGTCAAACAAGCTGGTCAGAAAGATCTCTATACCCGCAAACTGACAGAATAATCATCGTCATTTTTATAATCATCATTATCATCGTGATCATCAACATCTCCATCTTTAACATGATCTTTACGATCAATTTTATAATAATCATCAATTATCTCGTATGGGTTCCAGGGCCTTATTCAAACGGGGAAAGGAAAAAAAAAATGAATAGATCCCCGGCCGCCCTGACAAGCGTGTCCTACAAGGCGACTAATTGGAGGAGTTTCCTTTGAAGTTAGGGTTTATACTCCTGAGAGTCTAGGAACCAGATGTCTAGATACAAATAAGCCAGATCTGTAAAAGGGAGGTACACGCAAACATTGAAGATTTAGATCCAGACCCAAAGTCCAAAAGTTAGCGAACAACGAGAACTTTCCATCAGTTTACAGCTGGTCATTTACAGCTGGTCATTCACAGCTGGTCATGTACAGCTGGTCATTCACAGCTGGTCATTTACAGCTGTTCATTTACAGCTGTTCATTCACAGTTGGTCATTCACAGCTGGTCATTTACAGCTGGTCATTTACAGCTGGTCATTCACAGCTGGTCATTCACAGCTGGTCATGTACAGCTGGTCATTCACAGCTGGTCATTTACAGCTGTTCATTTACAGCTGTTCATTCACAGTTGGTCATTCACAGCTGGTCATTTACAGCTGGTCATTTACAGCTGGTCATTCACAGCTGGTCATTCAACGCTGGTTATTTACAGCTGCTCATTTACAGCTGGTAATTTACAGCTGGTCATTCACAGCTGGTCATTCACAGCTGGTCATTCACAGCTGGTCATTCACAGCTGGTCATTTACTGCTGGTCATTTACAGCTGGTCATTCACAGCTGGTCATTCACAGCTGGTCATTCACAGCTGGTCATTCACAGCTGGTCATTTACAGCTGGCCATTCACAGCTGGTCATTCACAGCTGGTCATTTACAGCTGGTCATTTACAGCTGGTCATTCACAGCTGGTCATTTACAGCTGGTCATTCACAGCTGGTCATTTACAGCTGGTCATTCACAGCTGGTCATTCACAGCTGGTCATTTACAGCTGGCCATTCACAGCTGGTCATTCATAGCTGTTCATTCACAGCTGGTCATTCACAGCATGTCATTTACAGCTGGTCATTCACAGCTGGTCATTCACAGCTGGTCATTTACAGCTGGTCATGTACAGTTGGTCATTCACAGCTGGTCATTCCCAGCTGATCATTTACAGCTGGTCCTTCACAGCTTGTCAAGAAGAGTATCGTCATCATAATTTTCATCACAGCTCATAATGTTGCATCATCATCGTCATCAAAATCTTTATCATCATCATTATCATCATCACCATCATCCTAATCATAATCATCATCAGCATGTTCATAATTCCAGAGTTAATGACAAGAAGGTTGTACACAAGAAATAAAGAAACTAGCCATGTCCTCATTTTGATAGATTTAAAGTGGCTGGACAATTTAATCACGTTTGTCCAGAAACACAGTGAAGATCGAAACCTAGTCTCGAATTTAAAGAAAACGAAAACAATGTCCACAGACAAAACCAGTTGTCACCCAACAATACCAATACATGATAATTAAATTGAAAATGTCACAAACGTTGAATATCTAGGCTCTATAATGAATAACAATGGAGACTGACATAAATCTAAAAGAGGATGGCCATAGCAAAGATTAAATAGCATTAAAAGTCTATGGTTGAGCACCAGCAAGGAAATTAAAATTTTAAGAGCGCACATCTCCCTTGTAGCAATGTACGGATGTGAGTCGTATACTATCTCCCAGTCCTTAAAGAAGAAAAGAGGGGCTTTTGAGCTGAAAGTCTTTAGAAATATTTTTAGAAAACCATTGACAAAGAAAGAAGAGAAGAAATTTTATATTTCAACAGATCTGAAAATCATTGGCTAATATTAGCTAATAAGCCGCATCTAGTCTCGAGCGAATGCTGAAATATTTTGGTCACATCAAGCACCATGATGGACTGAAGAAAAAATTATAGCAAAAGGCATGATACTAAGAAGTAGGGGCAGGGGCCGACCAGCACAAACACAGGCAATGATATAAGCGACTTCTTTAATATGAAAGTACAGAAGACGGGAGAGCTGGCGAGAGACCGAGTTTCTTTCAGACAGACCGTGATGAGAGAGACGTTCTGGAAAGGATCTCCTACATGATGATGATGAGCCATGGTAAGGCTGAATGTGATTAGTATTACGCGACTGGGACACACCACGGGTGAACGACTGGAAGTGACAATGTCAACAGCCTGGCTCTTTCATGTGGTAAGTAAAAAAAGTGAAGGACCCTTTACCCCGCCTATAGGCGTATAGGGCATATAGGGCTAGACCTAAATTTTATAGACCAATCGGCACAAGATAGGGGATGTGGTCAGCATCACGCCGACCGCCTTTACCTCCCGGGACCGCACCCGGTACCCACTTAAGGCTGGGTCGACCTGGGAGACAAGGTTATTTTTGAAAAAAAGTCTGGCTCAGCCAGTGAGCGAACCCACGACCTTCCGATCCGCGGCGAGTGTCTAGCCTCCTTGCCACGGCGACTACCTCTTTCATGTGGTAGCATACATAAATGAATCATGCACAATATGGTCATCACAACATGCTCAGGGAAAGGAAAAGATGTGGTTACTTGAGTTGGGAAGTTCGTTGCGTATCCTTTACAGGACGTTGCAGAACCAAATCCAAAATTTTTTTTTTTTGGCTGTTGTGGTTTTTCTATGCAAATTTTACGTTCAGTAGCTTGTCATTGCTTTATGAATGGTCAGCTCTAGGAACCACTGTCGAACCTCAAGAAAGAATTACCATCCCCTGCAGGGATCGAACCCAGTACACCGGCATTACGAAACGAGTTCGCAACGCCTAAGCAACCGACGCCAACAAACAAGTTAGGAAGCAGCTTGGAAAAGTCTCAGATCAGAAGCATATCAAGAATTTCTGCCCGGGATGTTCTCATGTGTGCGGTAAGGAAGAGACTAATAGAGTGGCTGCTCTCTCTCTCTCTCCTCTAATAAAAAGGAAATAATGACAGATAAGTTTTCGGGGGAGGGGAGGGGGAGGGGGGGGGGCGGAGTAGTGGTTCTGAATGATATACAATGCTCAGGAAAAACATAGATGGAGCTGTAATCAGATTAAAACCGGCACTATTATCATAAGACTCTTCTTTGGCTTTTGAGGAAGGAGACTGACTGCAGCGATATCAATTCTTTATTGATTCATTCATTCAACGGCCAACATCATAAAACTAGGGACATTCTCATAAACGCCATGTCCCTATCTGTAGCAGACAGGGTTGTTACAATTCCAGTGGTACTAGTATCTGGCCTGTTTGCACATCCGTCTGGCCTTTATTCCTGAATGTTGAGTGTCGGCTAAATCCCTTGTTACTGCCTGCCGCCCCATTCTCGTCTGAGAGTGATGATCTGTGTGTGCCTCTACATTACTGACTCGCTTCCAAAGGACCTTGGAAATCTAGCTCAAAGAAAGCATGATTAATGAGTGGTTCTTTAGCTTTTAATGAACGAATACAGTGATCCGACAACTATGCTTACTAGGGCATGGGTGGCATTCAATTTAGTATCGACTTCAACCTGAGACTTCTGATGGCTAAAGTGTAGTACAAAATTAAGACCCCTTTCACAACTGTGGGTCGGAAGGTCGTGGGATTAAATCCGAACGTAGCCGAACATTTCTCAAAGACCTTGACTCCGACAGTGGGTGCCAGGTAGAGTCATAGGAAGTAAAGGTGGCCGGCGTGATGTTGATGACATCACAGACTGAGTGCCGATTGGTCTATAAAATTTAGATCTAGCACATTATCCTCCAATACACCTAAAGGTGTAGAAAAAGGCCTTTTAAATTTTTGGTCTTCTTTTTTTTTTCTTTTTCTTCTTCAGCATTCCGAGCCCTTGAGGTTCATTGCTGCAGATTTCACCCACCTCCATTCATCTCTCTGGTTGGCCTTATATCTTTAGTTAGTGACACCAAGTGCTTGCAGGTCTGCCTGGACATGATCTCAATAGTCTTGTTGGTCTACCTCGTGGTCTACGACCATTCATCTCCCTCGTGTATACAGTTTTTACTTCTCTGTCATTTTACAGTGTCTCAGTATGCCCCAGCCATTTCAGTCTATTAGCTCTCTTGATGTCAGTGATCAATGGTGAATTAAACAAATGATAATTTATTTAATTTTTTTTTTTAAATAAATAAAAAAAAAATTTGGTTTAAAAAAAAATTTCTACAAAATATGTAAACTTTCCTGGTATCAAATAAATTCGATTCAGATCAGCTTCACCCACCTGTGAATCCATGCCTACCATAAATAACATAATAAAGAATAAGACGCTCCATAACTGGGGTACCGGCAGATAAGATAGAGCTTCAGGGTAGACGACAAAAGCAAGCCCGGGACCTGGAAAATACAAGTATTTCATGCAGCTATAGTTTGTCATCATTTTTTTTGGAAAAATATTAAGCTGGTAATAAGTCTATGAAGGAAGCACCGACAACGGACAGACAAAGTATTCCTCTTCTGATCCAACCATTTCTGTAAAAGTAAATCATAAAGATCCCTTTTACGCCTTAGGCGCATAGGCATATGCGAAGAGCACACATTTTGTTTCAAGACCAATCGGTACTAGGTGGGTAATGTGGTCAGCATTACGCCGGCCGTCTTTACTTCTCCGGGACAGCCATCCTGGTACCAATTTTAGGCTGGTTGGACCTGCGACACCCCATAACGTGATAAAATAATCCACGCAGCCAGCAGTGGGTTTCTATCGCGCTAAGATGGAATTACGAGTCGGACTCACACCACCTAGGCCACGGACGCGGCAGCCATTTTTGTAAGTTAAAAGTAAAGGACCCTCTTTCACGCCTTTAGGTTTATATGGCATATAGGGCTAGACCTATATTTTTTTTAGACCAATCGGCACAAGATGGGTGATGTCTGCATCACGTAGGCCGCCTTTACTTCCCGGGACTGTTCCGGTACCCATTTAAGGCTGTGTCGACCTGGAAGCAGTCTACCTTGTAATGACTCCTACATAAGGTGTCTTATCATATTCAATATACCATATTCACAAACTGATCGTGACCTTGATCCTCTTTGCACTGCCCGGGAGGCGATTCACGCAAGGTCATTTTTGACAAAAGTCAGGCTCCACCAGGGAGCGAACCCACAACCTTCCGATCCGCAGCGAGCGTCTAGCCCCTCTGCCACGTCGACTCCCAGCCGTTTCTGTGTAGCATGCCTTATTCCCCATGTACTGGTATTATCTTTCCTTTGAAGTAAACAAGGCAGGCTAAGGAGGGGTCACGAAGTACGGTCAATACCATGCCCGGTAATGTCTTCAATACGGCCCAAGAGGAGGTCATGCCTGACCAAAATTGGCTCCATGTCTTTCAACAGAATAAGATAATACTATCATCTTGAAAGATGGAAAAGTAGCAACGCATTTTTTTTTCTACAAATGTCGCTGCGGCATGTTGCCACAGTTTGTGGCCAGTTTGAGCAAAATCGCTAAGCCGGTCTAATTCCTAGCAGAGAAAGGGTGATCTTTGTTTCCGAAAACAAAGCATGGCTTTATAATCGGCCCAGCCTAATTTAAACTTGGATTCACTGCCTCCTGTGTGTAGTATGCTGATAAAGTCTTTCTAGTCGCAACGTTTATTTTGCCATACGTGATCGTATTATTGTGAAGCTTAGTTTTTCTTCTGGTCTGAATTGATTTTTTTTTCCTGAAAGATATTATTGAAACCGAGTACCAAGGAATTTTCCTGTCAGAGCCAAACTTTTTCTTCTTTCTAAATGACCTTGGCTCCCAGGTCGACTCAGCCTTAGATGGGTACCAGGTAAAACCATGGAAAGTAAAGGCGACCAGCGTGATTTTGACCACATCAGCCATCAAGTGCCGATTGGTCTCTGAAATATAGGTATAGCCCTGTGTGCACGGTACGCATCAAGACATCGCCCAGGACCTCTCCCCCTTCCCCACTTCTCGATGGCCAATAGCATACCTACCTGATGCTTTGGAGTTCGATGTCGGAACATTCAAGACGCAAGACATATGACCGAAGAAGTCGCCGTAGCCTAGCGGCTGGACGGCTCGCTCCCTGGCAGAGCCGGTCTTTTTTTCAAAAAATAGCCTTCTTCCAGGTCGACCCAGCCTTGAGTGGGTACCGGGTGCAGTCCCGGGAAGTAAAGGCGGCCGACGTAATGTTGACCACATCACCCACTTTGCGCCGATTGGTCTATACAAATTTAGGTCCCACCCTCTATGCCCTATACGCCTAAAGGCGTGGAAAATAGATCTCTACTACGTACTTTTACTACATATGACCCAGTACGCAGACGATGGTATACGCACCTGATGCTCTGAAGTTTGATATCGGAACATTCAAGATGTAAGACATATGACCCACGACGCAGACGATGGTATACGCACCTAATGCTCTGAAGTTTGATATCGGAACATTCAAGATGTAAGACATATGACCCAGTACGCAGACGATGGTATACGCACCTGATGCGCTGAAGTTTGATATCGGAACATTCAAGATGTAAGACACGTGACCCAGTACGGATACAATGGGTTGCTCTGAAGTATGATATCGGAACATTCAAGATGTAAGACATATGACCCAGTACGCAGACGATGGTATACGCACCTAATGCTCTGAAGTTTGATATCGGAACATTCAAGATGTAAGACATATGACCCAGTACGCAGACGATGGTATACGCACCTAATGCTCTGAAGTTTGATATCGGAACATTCAAGATGTAAGACATATGACCCAGTACGCAGACGATGGTATACGCACCTGATGCGCTGAAGTTTGATATCGGAACATTCAAGATGTAAGACACGTGACCCAGTACGGATACAATGGGTTGCTCTGAAGTATGATATCGGAACATTCAAGATGTAAGACATATGACCCAGTACGCAGACGATGGTATACGCACCGGATGCGCTGAAGTTTGATATCGGAACATTCAAGACGTAAGACATATGACCCAGTACGCAGACGATGGTATACGCACCTAACGTGCTGAAGTTTGATACCGGAACATTCAAGATGTAAGACACATGACACATATACGGATACAATGGTATACCTACAGGTTGCTCTGAAGTATGATATCGGAACAAATAAGACGTAAGACATATGACCCAGTACGCAGATGATGGTATACCCACCTGATGCGCTGAAGTTTGAAATCGGAACATTCAAGACGTGAGACATATGACCCAGTATGGAGACGATGGCGAAACCTGCGTAAATGCTCGTACCCTCACACACCAGCACCAGTATAACGGAGTCCCTGGGTGAATATATAAATGGTAATAAATAGCACAAATAGGCAGACAAACAAGTAGATACGTATAGTAAGTACGTCGACACAAAGACAATATGGTCCTTCTCGCTTATTTCCCCCCCCCCCCCCCATCTCGGGGACTCCGAGGTTTAGTAGGGAGTTTTCGTCGGGAAAGTCCATTAGTATAGCGGTGTTGGTGTATGAAATGAACACCGACTAACCCTAACCCTACTTCGCCCCCTTTCCAATACTGGACTTCCCTAGGAACCCCATCCTCCCCACCCCCCTTCCAATATTGGACTTCCCCAGGAACCCCATCCCCCCCCCCCACCCCACCCCTTGTTTATGTTGAGAACAACATCCTAGGTAAATGAAACTATAATTAACTCCAGTTTTTACACGTTTTATGAAGAGCGGCTGGCTAAGCGGTTACAAGGTCGGGCTCTCATGCGTTAGACCCGGGTTCGGCAACTGGGTTAGGTGATGGAAGTTGTGAAAAAAATACAAGTTATGAAAATAATTTCGCACACCATGCAACCACACAGTTACTGGTGTCGTCGGAAATGGAACTCTTCGTTTGTTGCTAAAGATGAGGACGGAGCGCTTATGGGAGTGTCCTGAGTGCTATAATGTAGATTCTTAATTCAACCTTCTTTCAACACACCATGAATAACAAGAGACATTGCTTACTTAAGACAGTTGTTCTTGAATTTATTATAACTAGACGCCGTAGTGACGGCTCCTCCAATGACACCAACTGAATAAAATGCCTGAATGGATGCTTCCAGCCATGTTTGCAGTTTTTGAAGTTTTCTGGGAAAAAAAATCAGGTGGTGTCCATAAGGAAGACAGACACACACTTAATCAGCAGTTTTTTTTTTTTTTTTTTTCAAAATGATTATTTATTGTATCACTATTATTTGCAGGTTTTCTCTTTTCAGAGTGGCTGCTCCTACAAGAAGAGCATTGCAAAAAGTAGCACTATTCGTGGTACTGGCAGAAGCAGCAGATTTAATAGTAATACTTTCTGTAGCAGTTGTAGTAGTAGCAGCAGTAGTAACAGCAGTAGTATTACTATAAGTAGTTATAATTGCAGTGGTAGCAGCAGTAACAATCTACCTTGTACTGACCACTACATGAGGTTTCTCTTCAATGTCAATATACCATTTTCACAAACAGATCCCGGCTTAAACCTCTTTACACTGCCAGGAAGGCGATTCACGCAGGCCTATCTCCTGTTGTTATTTTAATGAAGGTGACAATGATGGTGGTGAGGAAAACGATGATCATGTTGACGATTAAATTATTGTTGGTTATGATGATAATGATGATGATGATGATGATGATGATGATGATGATGATAACAGCAGACTTTACATTTTCATGCATTTATACATAATACAAACATACCTGAAGTCTGGCCAGACATAAAACAATATCCCATCCACGGCGCCTGGCAGGGTTACGCCCCTGATAATTAAAACCATGAGCAGAATATATGGTAGTGTTGCCGAAATATACACAACCTAGGAAATATAAGAGCAATCCTTTAACAAGATCCAACAGACCCCTATCGACCTCAAAATTCCTCACCTCACAAGTCGAAAATAATAGTTATACTCTTTACAAGCAGCCAATACGAAGCCATCTTGGAAAAGGAACCTACATACATACAGAAGCATCCATCAACATGGGAAAATGCACCCTTGTGCTACGTTAAAGGCCAGGGCGGTTCCAAATACGACTCAAAACTCACATACTATACTACTTATGAACACTATTGGATGGTGTATGAGAAAATCACGAGCCAGGTGTATGCTAGTGATACCAGTATGTACACTGCTTGAGGAAGACAAAAGAAAACAATGTGTAAGATACAGTGTTGTCTATATGTGAAAATGTAAGTGAAAAATCACATTCGAGATATATGGTAGAAGTAGCCACCATGCACACATCCTGGGAAACGTAAAATAAACCACGAGCAAGATGTACGGTAGTATGGTCAAATTGTGGACTGTTGGAGTCTGTGTGGAAACATTATAAAAAAAATGTAGGGCAGTTTTGCCGATTTGCCAACTATTGGAGATGGTATATATAGGAAAATACTGAACAAAATGTATGGTAGTGGTGCCGATACGCACACTGTTGGAAAGTGTATGGGAAGGAAAAATCATTTTAAAAAATGTATGGTAATGTTACTGATATGTGCAGAACTTGAGGAATGCAAGAGAGAACAATGTGAAAGATGTACCGTAGTGTTGCCGATATGTACACCAGGGAAAGGGGTTGGAGGTTATGTTTGCGGTACATTCTGCAGGCGTTGTTCCTTGTTCATTGCTCATTTAACGTTTATCTTTATCGCACATTGGACATGGCTATAAGTGCCTCGATCATCTCCTGAGTATGTCTCCAAGTGTTTTTAGGCTAACAACTCCCATTCTGCAGGCAGCATTGACGGAATTAAATATTTTCCTTAAGAAACAACAAGCAATTAGAGAGACCCACGGCAGTACAAACAGCCTGACTCAGAGAAGAGACATACAGAAACCAACAGTGCAGATGCGCGGACGAACACAAAGAAACGCACATATGGAGATGGGACACAGGCAAGCAGACAGACAAGCAGGCAGCAGCCAGACTGACAGAAATAGACTGAAGGACAGCGTTCCAATCTTTAGCAGGATTTTAAAAACCAACTACCAGGCTACAATTAGTACAAGAAAATTTCATGGGAAATAAAAGAGAGCGACGTTATGTCGATCCTTTCCCAAATATAGGGCTGATAGGTCTATATAAATATGTGTACATCATCATATCCCTAAAAATATCCTCTACTTTTCGTCCTTTTTAGGATGCATTTTTTGTTATTTGAAGCCCTACTCTGGCTCTTGCTAGGGGCCGCAATATAGTTTGGCCATAAATATGGCCTAAAGGCTAAACGCGGTTTCTGGGACCTCTCCACGGCGATCCTCACCCGCATGGTGGCACATTGTGTCATCGGGAGTTTATCGCTTGTGTGATGTCCTAGTGGGGTAGAAAGTCATATCCCTAAAGCGTAACAAGCGTGAAAGGCGCCCTTTACTTTTTGTTTACCTGTCTACACGTGCGGATTCCGAGGTCTCATTCTTGTGAAATAGACCCACTGCCCCTCAACATCCCACCTCCCAAAGCATGTCGTAAAAAGCTACAAATTTTAACACTTGCTGAATTTTGATATTTCAAGTTGAACGCCGTAGTTATCGCAGCCTAACTGTAAACCACAACAAAATGTGCTAGCCGCCTGTGTATGGACGAATGAAGAAGAAGAAGAAGAAGAAGAAGAAGAAGAAGAAGAAGAAGAAGAAGAAGAAGAAGAAGAAGAAGAAGAAGAAGAAGAAGAAGAAGAAAAACTTACCTTTCCAACAGAACGAACACCTCTAATAAGACAGGCCATACAAACAGCATACGCAACCAGAATTGCTATTACATTGCGCCAAGGAACACCATCCATACTGTCCAGCCCAGAGGACAGCTCCAGAACATTGTTTCTATAATATATAGAGTATAAATATGCTGGGAAGAAAAGGTGAGAAGGGGGGGGGGGGGTTGTCTGACTGTTCTGGACACATATTGAAAATACTTATTATTTTTACTCCTTAACCTTCCTTTTTTTTAATACGCTTTTATTTAGCATGCTCAATGTGTTTGTCACTTTGGTAAAACATTGCTATATATTTTTTAACTCAGCTCGCATTTTGCACATACACTCTTTGTGGAAAACAAGCCAATAATGACGCTGTTCAATATTTTCTTCAAACATAATCTGTGGCTCGAGATTTTGAACGCGTATACCTGCGAGGAGACTTGACCTATGGAGTCTTGTCCCCTCTGTAGCAGTTCCTCTACTTGCTCATCCACTGACCTGACTTCATCTCCAGCCGTCTCCACTTGCCTTGCCACCGGAGTCGGATACAGGCGAGACAGTGAGTTTGACGAAATTGGGAAACTCTTCTTCGCTTTAAACAAATTCATCCCGGTAGTCACTTTTTTCTGTGCTCTGCCCTCATTGTCCTAGACTCTTCTTGGCAAGCACTGAACCTATAAGCCACCTCCAGACACAAACATTAAATTCATGGCGAATGGAATACAAGTGTGGTCATCATAACTTGTGATGGACGAACAACACTGCATGTACTGACTGGAATAGAAACAAGATTGACTTACACTGATCGTTGATTGAGTTTTAAATATTCTCAATATTTTTAATAAAACTATAGCATAGAATATTATATTTTTCGTGGTATATTAGTTTTTCCCTGCAGAACTGCAGCCTGAAAGATTGACACCATCGACTCAGAGCGCTACTATTCGGACATGAATCCAACATACGATTAGGTCTGGGTTCATCTGGCAAAGATCTCATACATCACAGCATTCAGGACAAGCCAATAATAGCTCAGTCTCTCTTCTCGACGGCCAACAAAAAGTCTCTTTACTGTTATTAACCGTTGTCGTCTAGTTAACTACATGTCTTGTTCAATCATTCCTCCATCCCCCGGGCCGAGTCTATAGCAACGCACAGAGCCCACAAACACTCTCCCGCAGCCTCTTTATCGAAGCCACGAAAGGGCGCTATTCTGCAATGGACGTGCTGTTGGTGACAGGGATAATGACGATTTAAAAAAGTTGAGATGACATAAATGATTCAATACGCAGCATGAACAATATACAATTTCTGAACACTTTCTTGATGTCTCGGAGATAAGAGATATGATTTTACGGAAATGTCCTTAGAATTCTTTAATCAGCTAGAAGGAGTCACACAGATGTTTTGAATGAGGCGGAGGCTCGAAGACAACTTATCGCAAATATCAGAGACAATCATAATTTTTGGGTAATGTTATGAGAAAAGGAAAACTAGAACACGCTGTGACCACTGGAAATATCTGCGGAAAGAGAGACAGAAGAAAACAGTTTAAGAAAATTGTTGGCAGACTTTTGTTATGGCATGGAGGGGTGTCAAAACATGAACTGATTTCAGATTTTAGATTGTGGAGAGGCATGATCGCTCACGCCAGTCGACAAGGCACTTGATGATGATGATGATAATGATGATGATAATAATAATAAAAGAAAGAATACTTACAGCCAGAACTCTTCACTCGCAGAGACCGCAACTCGCCTTGTGTTAAAAATGGTATCGTTCAGAAAGCTAGCCCCACTGTGATCAGATGCCTGCGTTCCTTCATTGACGTTAGCCCCGGACACGTTGGTGGTCGCTCCACCTTTAAAGGCGCAGCGGTCAGTGTTCCAGTTCTGATTACATAAGGTCCATGGAAGGGGTGACCGTACTGAATTAGCCAGGTATACCAATGACCAGGCCAAATACATGATATAGTACCAATGAAATATGGCACTCAGGGTGTTCATTGCCAGTCCTAAACCTGTGAATATATCATCATCATCATCATCATCATCAGCAGCATCATCATCATCATCATCATCATCATCATCATCATCATCATCATCATCATCATCATCATCATCATCATCATCATCATCATGTAGTAGACTCTTTGCAAAACGTCGCTCTCACTACAGTCTGCCTAAAAGAAACTCGGTCTCTCGCCACTTCTCCCTCCTCGTGTACTTTCATACTCAAGGAGTCACTGATATCTTGTGTTCATCTTCGTGCTCCTCCTTCCTAGTACCATGCCTTCTGCTTTTCAATCCGCCATGGAACTTGATATGACCAAAATACTTCAGCTTCTGAGACAAGATGCTGTTTATTAGCCAATCTTTCTTGATGTTCAGATCTTTTAAATTGTCAGTATTTCTTCTCTTCTTTGTCCATGGTATTCTGAGAATCTTTCTATAGCATTTCAGCTTAAAAGTCCCTGTTTTATTTCTTAAGGACTCGGAGACATCCGTGTGTTGTTTTAGGAAAGATGCATGCTCTCAAGATTTTAGGTTTTTTTTTTTTTAATTTGCGCCGGTGCTTAACCATAGATTTTTACATACATACATACATACATACATACATACATACATACATACATACATACATACATACATACATACATACATACATACATACAGACAGACAGACAGACAGACAGACAGACAGACAGACAGACAGACAGACAGACAGACAGACAGACAGACAGACAGACAGACAGACAGACAGACAGACAGACAGACAGACAGACAGACAGACAGACAGACAGACAGACAGACAGACAGACAGACAGACAGACAGACAGACAGACAGACAGACAGACAGACAGACAGACAGACAGACAGACAGACAGACAGACAGACAGACAGACAGACAGACAGACAGACAGACAGACGACAGACAGACAGACAGACAGACAGACAGACAGACAGACAGACAGACAGACAGACAGACAGACAGACAGACAGACAGACAGACAGACAGACAGACAGACAGACATACATACATACATACATACATACATACATACATACATACACATACATACATACAGACAGACAGACAGACAGACAGACAGACAGACAGACAGACAGACAGACAGACAGACAGACAGACAGACAGACAGACAGACACACAGACACACAGACACACAGACACACAGACACACACACGCACACACGCACACACGCACGCACGCACGCACACACACACACACATACATTCATTCATACATACTTACATACATACATACATACATACATACATACATACATACATACATACATACATACATACATACATACATACATACATACATACATACATACATACATACATACATACATACATACATACATACATACATACATACATACATACATACATACATACATACATACATACATACATACAAACATACATACATACATTCATACATACATACATACATACATACATACATACATACATACATACCTACCTACCTACCTACCTACCTACCTACCTACCTACCTACCTACCTACCTACCTACCTATCTACCTACCTACCTACCTACCTACCTACCTACCTACCTACCTACCTACCTACCTACCTACCTACCTACATACATACATACATACATACATACATACATACATACATACATACATACATACATACATACATACATACATACATACATACATACATACATACATACATACATACATACATACATACATACATACATACATACATACATACATACATACATACATACATACATACATACACATATATATGTGTGTTTTGGTATATATATATATGTTTGTGTGTTTATATATGTATACATTCACACACATATAGATTCATGCAACCTATTCTGTTAAAAGGAAACCTGTCTCCTCGTCCGTGAGCGTTCATTGAGTTGAATTAAGAATTGACATCACAGAACTCGGGGCATTCCCATGTGTACTCCGTCCTCATCTTCAGCAGCCAGCGCAGAGTTCCAATGCTAATGGTACCGGTCACAATCTGGTTATATATCCGTCTTGTCTTTCTTCTGGGTGTAGTAAGCCGACCAGAACCTCTGGTCACACACAGGTGCCTCATTCTCTCCAGCCCATAATAATCTTATTTCACTACTGATTGCGTTGCTTGTTCCTTGTCATTATCATTTCGCCACCCAGTGGTGCAAATCCAGCCAATCTGTCTCTGTTCATTACCCACTACGCCGGCACGACTGGAGAAAAGATCCAAAGTATGCTCACTACCCGTGACCTTTACAGTGAAGCTTGCCACTCTGCTCGAAGCATTCCTGTCTTCACCTTTCCCAGCATACTTTCAGAGCCTGTTACTATTACGACATGTGTATGCATCTTGATCTGTAGCCACCGGAGAGCTGAAGTTACCGCCTCCACCACCATTCTCATGCTAGATGTTGTTATGTCGTATGCTAGGCTTTCTTGCACTAAATATTTTCCATTTGCTTTTGACGAACTCCCAGACACTTCTCTTTCCCCTTAACACCGAACCATCTGTATAGACTGAGCATTCATTGAGAATTGAATAACATGACAACATGTGTGGCTGACAGTTTCTCCACCCATCAAGGCAAAGAACTAAGATACAAGATGCAATGGCAACAATACAAGGTAAAGAACAAAGATAAGAGATTCTATAGCAACAATACAAGGTAGAGAACAATCATAAGAGACACAATAGCAACAATACAAGGTAGAAAACAACGATAAGAGATACAATAGCAACAATACAAGGTAGAAAACATAGATAAGAGATACAATGGCAACAAAACAAGGTAGAAAACAAAGATAAGAGATACAATAGCAACAATACAAGGTAGAAAACATAGATAAGAGACACAATGGCAACAATACAAGGTAGCGAACAATGATAACAGATACAATAGCAACATTACAAGGTCGAGAACAAAGAAAAGAGATACAATGGCAACAATATAAGGTAGAGAACAAAGATAAGAGATACAATAGCAACAATACAAGGTAGAAAACAGAGATAAGCGATACAAAAGCAACAATACAAGGTCGGGAACAAAGATAAGAGATACAATTGCAACCTGGTAGAGAACAATGATAAGAGATACAATAGCAACTATACACGGTAGAGAATAAAGATAAGAGATACAATAGCAACAATACAAGGTAGAAAACGGAGATAAGAGATACAATGGCAACAATACAAGGTAGAGAACAATGATATGAGATACAATAGCAACAATACAAAGTAGAAAAGAGAGATAAGCGATACAATAGCAACCATATAAGGTCGAGAACAAAGATAAGAGACACAATGGCAACAATACAAAGTCGAGAACAAAGATATGAGATACAATGGCAAGAATACAAGGTCTAGAACAAAGATAAGAGATACAATTGCAACGATACAAGGTCGAGAACAAAGATAAGAGATACAATGGCAACAATACAAGGTCGAGAATAAAGATAAGAGATACAATAGCAACCATATAAGGTCGAGAACAAAGATAAGAGATACAATGGCAACAATACAAAGTCGAGAACAAAGATATGAGATACAATGGCAACAATACAAGGTCGAGAACAAAGATAAGAGATACAATTGCAACGATACAAGGTCGAGAACAAAGATAAGAGATACAAAGGCAACAATACAAGGTCGAGAATAAAGATAAGAGATACAATAGCAACAATACAAGGTAGAGAACAAACATACAAGATATAATAACAGCAATGCTTGAAAGAAATACAACTTTCCTTTAAACAGTGGGCACAGGTTCCAGGCACGTATGACGCTGCCGGAGACGAACTGACCCAAAGCCGCTTCTAGAAAATACAGGGGGATTCCACAAACGAAAACACAGATGCAGTATGGGATGAGGAAAGCGCCTGAAATTGGGAGCGAAATGCAAAAAAATTACTGCTATGTAACTGTATTACATGTTAAGTGGCTTGTCTTGTGTTACTATCCATCCACACCTGTGGCTGCAGAACCGGGGGAACGTATTGTGGCCTTCCCCTCCCCCTCCCCAACACCATATATAGATGCTTTCTTTCTAAGTTTTGCTTGTTTTTACACTTCATATGATTTCCAATCTTATTAGGTTTTATCATTCAGCACAGTATAATAATAACAGAAAAAAGTATTATTATTATTGCTCACTGAAACAAGGCTCAACATTTAAAGAATAAAGCCAAAGTCCAAACGGACGAGCAACCGGGACTTTCCTCCGGAGCTTACGGCCAGTAAACAAATAAGAATCAAATGAAGAAATAATATGAAATATTTTCAAAGAGAATTTCTACACAATGTTAAAGTGGAACGCTTACACCCCCCTGCAAGTTAGCAGGAAGGGATTAGGAAAAATGGTGCTATAAATTTTTTTTCTCAAATAAACAAAAATTACACCTATCCGAGAACAGTACATGGAATCAAATGTAGGCCGTGTCGACCCAGGAGCCGTAGTCAATTTTGGAAAAATAAGAAAGAAAAAAACACACGTGTGGATTCGAACCTAAGACTATCAAGCCAGCTACCACACCGCCGCGGCTCCCATGGTGTATGATGCTAGCCACATTTCTTCCTCTTCTTCTGCTTTCATCTGAAAACGTAAATATGCCCGTTTACAGCATGGCTGCGACATTTCCGACTTTTGGCCGATACATTCGACTTCTGTAGGCATTTGTTGCCCGGGTTAGCATTCCCAGGTCGCATGTTCTATAGATCAATTGGCACTAAATATACGTGATCAACATAACGCAGATCGAGTTTACTTCCCAGGACATATCCTGGTAGGGGCCGCCATGGTGTAGCGACTAGACGCTCGTCTGCGGATCCGATAGTGGTAGGTTCAGATCCCGTGGAAGCCGGAATATTGTTTAAAAAAACGACCTTGGGCTCCCAGGTATACCCAGACACAAATGGGCACCAGGGAAAAGTCCTGCGAGTAAAGGCGGTCGGAGCGATTTTGACTCATCACCCACCTTGTGCCGATTGGTCTGTACAGTATAGGTTGAGTAGTATGTGTTCACTAGACCAGAGGTGTGGAAAAAGGGTCTTCTTTTGTACATATCATAGTGCTAGGTAAGATTGTGTTAATTTTCATAGTACATTTTCTGTCTCAAACACAATCCAACAAGGTGTCTATATTGGAAACAGTATTACAACTTACATAATTGTTCTAAATAAATAACAAATGTATATTATGAGAACTCAATGAACACTCCATATCACAAATATAACCATGAGGGTTGAACAGTGTATTTTCTATCAGCTACTGTAACTACTGATTCCGAACTTTGTTTGAACAATAAGGTCCATTTATTAAATATCGAAGCTGTTCTTGGGGATTTGAACACTTGATCTCCCGCTGTGTGTTTCAGGTCCCTAGTTGGGGGGGGGGGGGGGTTGGCTTGGGGAAAAGGGGCGTGGGGTTAAAACAGCTGCTACTGAACAAGCATGTCGCAGAAGGCAACTAATTGCAATTTGTAGAAATCTGATGTGTTGGAACAAGAGGCGCAGATATCACAGCCTAGCTGTAAAGTACAACTCAGCATCCTAACTGTACTTTAAGGGACAACTCAAACGAAGAAGAAGAAGAAGAAGAAGAAGAAGAAGAAGAAGAAGAAGAAGAAGAAGAAGAAGAAGAAGAAGAAGAAGAGAAGAAGAAGAAGAAGAAGAAGAAGAGAAGAAGAAGAAGAAGAAGAAGGAGAAGGAGAAGAAGAAGAGAAGAAGAAGAAGAAGAAGAAGAAGAAGAAGAAGAAGAAGAAGAAGAAGAAGAAGAAGAAGAAGAAGAAGAAGAAGAAGAAGAAGAAGAAGAAGATGAGAAGAAGATGAGAAGAAGAAGAAGAAGAAGAAGAAGAAGAAGAAGAAGAAGAAGAAGAAGAAGAAGAAGAAGAAGAAGAAGAAGAAGAAGAATACCCACAGTCGACTTTTTTCCTGCCATGTTGTGTTTTTCCGTGTAAGCCAGTTTATATATATTTTTTCTTTTTCTTCTGTGCAGTTACTGAGCTCGCTTGATATAAAGTGTTTAGGCAAATTCGTAATATTAGAAGATTTCGCAATTAATGTTAGAAAGAGGGTGCTAAAATGTTACATAGAACCAGTTCTGATTTATGGCAGCAAATCTTGGAATGTCAGTGAATCAGTTAAGAAAGAATTAGAAGCAACAGAGATGTGGTTTCTGAAACGAATGTTACGAATACCTTGGAGTGCCAGAGTAACTAACAACGATTGTTTAAAAGAAGCTAAAGAAAGTAGATCTCTATATACAACAATAATCAGGAGACAAACACTGTTCTTTGGCCAGGTAAAGAGAAGAGAGGCATTGTAAAACAACCTGACAACTGGAACGTTCAGTGAAAGGAGGGGTAGAGACAGACCCAGAGAGAAGATGCTGGATGGTTTGAAACGATGGCATAGAGGGAAATCATCAAGAGAGCTGTTCCAGGCAACCAGGGATCGTGATCTGTGGAGATGCATGAGCGCCTATGCCAGTTAGCAGGACATGTGATAATGATGAGAAGAATAGAAAGAGCAAAATTATACAACATTAATGCAATCTTCATGCAAACCATGCATTCAGTGTCAGATATGGGCATTGACTAAAGAACGCAAAGCAAACTGAACATCTTCGAAATAGGAAAATGGAGAAAAGTCGCAAACAAAACTAGAAGGGATCACGTGAGAAACGAGGAATTTTAAAGAACTATTGTAAAAAAAAAAAAAAAAAAAAAAACGCTTATAAAAATATTTATTTAAAAAAATAAAAAATAAAATAAAAAACACCCAGACCAAAATTGTTCAGCCATTTACTGAAAATTAATCCAATGATGCTAGCAACAAGAGCGTATGCCAAAGTATAAACATCAAGGGGTAGGGGACGATCAAGATGAAGATGGATTAAATAAGTCACTCATATCTTGAGACTCCACAACATCACAGCATGCAGGACAAACAAGCATGTCCTAGCTCGGATATCAATCACCTGTTAATCTCAGAATATGGATAAAAGAAATGGAACAAGAAGAATAGATGATCACAACATGTAATATACATGTCAACATAAGCAAGACGATGCTAGTGAAGTGTTCATAGACCAATCGATATTTGCTTAGTGGCGCGGTCAACATCCCGCCATTCGACTTTACTTCCGGGAACGTTTCTTAGTATCCGGTTTAGACAACTCCAGCCAAGCGCTGGAGGGAGAGAGTTAGAGGGGAAAAAACGCCTGACCAGCAACAACGTGACAGCAGTCCGGACAGGTAGTTAGACCACCGGCCAGATCACCAGCCAGACCACCGGCCAGATCACAGGCCAGACCACCAGGTAGATCACCGGCCAGACTACAGGCCAAACCACCGGTCATATCACAGGCCAGAAAACCGGCCAGATCACCAGCCAGATCACCGGCCAGACCACCAGGTAGATCACCAGCCAGATCACCGGCCAGATCACAGGCCAGACCACCAGCCAGATCACCAGCCAGATCACCGGCCAGATCACAGGCCAGACCACCAGGTAGATCACCAGCCAGATCACAGGCCAGATCACCGGCCAGATCACATGCCAGACCACCGGCCAGATCACATGCCAAACCACCGGCCAGATCACCAGCCAGACCACCGGCCAGATCACCAGCCAGACCACCGGACAGATCACAGGCCATACCACCGGACAGACCACAGGCCAGACCACCGGGCACAGATCTTCACTTATTTCTTCATTCCTCTTGAATTTATCCTAGTTTATGTTCATAATTCCTAGACATTTGTTTCCGACTTTAATTTTAGCCGACGTACATTGTTTTGAATGTTAAACTGTGCAAGCCAAATAATAATCTAGCATGTTTGTCCCATTTGCAAAGCTGTGTGAGTTCCAAGGGCCTTGGTCAAACGATGGATCAGCCGGGGGATCGACAGACATTCAGATAGCCGGTGGATCGACAGACATACAGCTAGCCGGTGGATCGACAGACATACTGATAGCCGGTGGATCGACAGACATACAGATAGCCAGTGGATCGACAGACATACAGATAGCCGGCGGATCGACAGACATACAGATAACCGGCGGATCGACAAACATACAGATAGCCGACGGATCGACAGACATACAGATAGCCGAGGGAACCGACAGACATACAGATAGCCGGCGGATCGACAGACATACAGATAGCCGGCGGATCAACAGACATACAGATAGCCGGCGGATCGACAGACAAACAGATAGCCGTGGGGACCGACAGTCATACAGAAAGCCGATAGATCGACAGACATACAGATAGCCTATGGATCGACAGACATACAGATAGCCGACGGATATCTTAGCAAAAACCAAGAAAATGGTAGTTACATGAGTTAATATACAAAGACGGTCAGGCATATCGATTTGTATATTGCTAGGAAAGTAAACAGATTGGCAGACATGAATGCATACAAATAATAGACAGACAGGCAGGCAGACATATTGTTGGACATATATAAAGACAGACAGACAGATAGACAGACATACAAAAGACAGACAGACAGACACTGTAATACCGAATCACCAATAAAATCCGTGTGAAACGCGCCCCACAGTTAGCTAATTTTTGGTGCATAAAACTTTCTGAAACACCAAACCGCTTTACAAAATTCTAGACTGGTTCATGAACAAGTGAAGACGAGTCGTTAATGAGACGACAACCGGCAGTATCAGAACAGAGTCACTTCGCTGTCTGTTGAGGACGGAGAGGCGCTGTTATGGGCTTTTCCTAAATGATGTGACTGTCGTTCAGTCGGTCTACTCCCACGAAAACTGGTTCAAAGACTATACACTAAAGGCAAATTTATTCAAACATTCATTTATGGGTATTTAGATATACTAAAGAAATATGTAATGTACTACA